TCATCAGAGCTCTACAGCCAGACTGTGAGTGGGAGGCTGATCTAGGATCTCGGTACAGGATTTACCATAACCCTAAGGGTCCAAGTAGTCCTTATTTATGGATTCTGATTCCGAAAAGGCCCTAAAGTCCTAAAAAAGGAGTACTTGGACCCTCTGGGTAAGGCTTTAAGGACTCATGTTGTAAGGTTTGAGGGCCCAAGCACCTTCAGGGTTTAGGGGTTTAGGGCTCAGGGGGACTTTACGCCTTTACGCCCTGCGGTTGACTTAAGGACCACAAACCACATATATCAGGAGTGATGCTGCGTGCTTCTTATGCGGATAATCGAAGCCCGATAACCCGGAACCTTCCTCCAAATCTCCGATAAGGTTTAGAGTGTAGGACGGAGGGGTACGCAAACAAAAACGACAATACAAACAAAACTAGCTGCCCCCACCCTGTAATAGTGGTATAATAGGAATAAAATAGGGCCTAATATAATCCTTATAGCCACTATTACAGGATGGGGGCAGCTTCTAAACTATGCAAGTCAGAATCCCGGCAAACTGCCTCCTCCAAATCTGTGGCCACTCCACTGGCTCGACCCGCAAAGCTTCCTCAAGGGCGGGTTTGGGGTTTAGGGTTTAGGGGCCGTGCATAATTAGAAAGGCTTCGGGGGGTGTTCAGGTTGTTGAGTTTAGGGTGTGCCAAAGGGGCAGTCAAACAAAGTCCTTCCCCTGCACAGATTCGTAGATTCCTATAGTTTCTATATTTGCCGAAGGCAGGGACTCGTGTGTTGAGGTGTCCGACGCCACAAGAACACGCATGATGAAGCGCCCACAAACCCTAAACTCTACCATCAAGTAGGTTACGGTACTCTAAGGTAGGAGGAAGTGAGGGTTCCAATCGTCTACCAGTACATGCAGGATTTTGCGAGGCTTGGGGCTCAATGTTTGGGGGCTTTAGGGGGTCGGCCGAAATCCGGTTGTGGGAAATCGGGAATTCACGCACCCTGCAGGCTGCAGATGTAGATTCAGATGTAGCTGTTTTGCTACAGGTAAACCCAAGATCTAAACCCTGAAGCCTAAACTAAACCTTAAACTCCAAGCCATACGAACCCAACAACCCTAAACCTTTCCATCTGTCGCACGCCGGAGTTGCAGAATGAAGCAGGACTACCTTACAAAACCCTCACAAAGCCTGAAGCCCTGATGTCGGGTTCAATTTAGGATATTATATAGGGTTTAGGGATTCGGGTTTGGGATCAAAAATAGTCAAACCCAAAACCAGCCCAGAAACTTCAGCCCAATCAGGGCTGCAAGCAAATGGCCCAACGTCTTTTGTCCGAGAATTTCCTACAATATGAGGCCGCAAAGCCTTACGGTGGACCTCTAAACCCCTAAAACCCAGACCTCTAAACACTACCCTGAAAGACCCTAAACCCTAAAGCCTAAACCCATCTAAACCCCAGACCTCTAAACCCTACCCTAAAAGACCCTAAACCCTAAAGCCTGAACTCATCTAAACCCCAGACCTCTAAACCCTACCCTAAAAGACCCTAAACCCTAAAGCCTAAACCCATCGAAACCCCAGACCTCTAAACCCTACCCTAAAAAACCCTAAACCCTAAAGCCTAAACCCATCGAAACCCCGGACCTCTAAACCCTAAAACCCGAAAACTCCGAAGCCCTCGTGCCTTGAAACAGCTTTCGCGCTTTTGCCTCGGCACTCGCCGAGGCAAAAGTTGTTCGGGTTCTACCTGTAGTCTCCATTGTAGGCCCCCAAACCCCCCAAGTCTAAATGCGGAACCCCAAAGAGCCGGGTCTAGGGCTTCCTATAGTCTCCATTGTAGTTCCTTTTTGGGGTTTTGGGTTTGCCCTAACAGCCCTAACATCGAATTTATAGGGACCCTGAAAAAATAGCAGGTTTTGGTAGTTAAAAAGCTTAAGGTCAGAGTTGCGGCTGCAGGGTTTGAGGCATGCCTCCGGTTGGGCCGATAAGACTTATAGCATCGTTCATAGAGTCCCGAATATAGGGCCCCAGAAGAGCACATAAGCGAAAATTAGGATAGGGATATCCCATATACGCCCCCTTATGATGAAGCCAAATAAGGTAAGGATATCCCCATCAAATGCTTATGCTTATGTGCTTTTTGGGTCCCTAAGAATAAGCTCGGCCACCTTTCCAACAGACTCGGAACTGCACTGAAACTGCAAAGGACTGCTCCAAGTAGCCTGAGTTCGACATCTTACTATAGATATGGTCCTGAAGCCCGACATAGGAAACTCTGTAAGGGCAAGCAAAATCAGGTAAGAGCGCACCCGAACAAACACATGGCATGGATGATTCTCCAAATTATGCTCCGCTTTTAGGTTAGGAAAATATTACGACACCCTTGGGAGAGGACCCTTGAAGGGTCCCTAATTTAGAGAACTACAACAAGATTGACATCCGGCAGGATAACAATGAACTGCAAAGCACCTGGAGACCCCTTTCCTTCTACGGGCTGCCTACAAAACCCTCAACCCTAAACCCTAAACTGTCAGTCATATTGCCATCCTGAAGAATATGACCCATCAACCCTAAAACCTAATACCCTAAACCCATCCAGCACTCTGAAGCCCTTCGTCGTCTAGCTCTCAAGTCCCAATGACAACCACAGCTCGCAAAGCACTAGAAACTGATTGTATAGGGGCCTTAATAATTCGAAAAAGGTCTTGGGTACATTATACTGTATACATATATAGTAGACTTATGGTAAGGATCCACGTTTCAGGGGTGCAACATCGTTCAAGGTTGCAGGGGACTAAACGGGTCTTACAAAGATTCGTGAGGGCTTTCCAAGGGTTCTGTCGTCTAATGGGAGGTTTAGGATTCAGGGTTCAGGGTCGAAATGGGAGTAAAATAGGGGACCCTAATATAGTACCCTAAGTAGTAGGATCCTTATTATGAAGACCCCAAATAAGGTACCCTAAATCTTGAAAACTCCCAAATCAGGGTTATTGGGATGTAGGTCAAGGCTTCGAGTGGGTTTAGGGTTAGGGTTTAGGGTTAGGGTTTAGGGTTTAGTGTCAAAGTTCCAGGCCTGTTTCGTGCGTCTGGGCAGTCTAAATCTTCGGGCTCCAAGGTTTGGGGTTGACGAGCTCAACTGCTAGAATCTGCTTGCGTCTTGTGGCCTTAATATATATATATATATATATGTATATGAAACCGGATGATGGATGAAAATGGGGAGTCCCTATAAAGTCCATACTTTTTGGTTAGACATTGCATTTTACCTTATGAGCCCCTTCTTCCAAGTTACCCGGTCGTTCGCGTCCACATCCTCAGCGCCAGAGTGACCGCGCTTGGGCGCGGAAGGCTGCGACCCATCTCCGGCCATGGCCCAATGAGACCATTTGGAGGGCTTACGTACTTAAAGGATCATGGGACTTAGTAACCAGGGTTATACTTATAAGTACTTATAACCTTAATTAAGGTACTGAGAACCATACTTACTAAGTCCCACGATCCTCCAAGTATAGGGTTTAGGGTTATAGGGTTTAGGGTTTAGGCTGAGATTACGGCCCTCGAGTTTGGGCGGCTAAGGGGCACTGTGGCTCTGGATATGGGTGCCAATTGAGTTTGTGGTATGTAGGAGTAGGATTTGAAGCCACTAGAACCCTGAAACCTGCGCTGGTTCGGACTAGCATTGTCGGCCTTGAAGCCCTTGGAATGTTTCGCCTGTTCCAGGAAACCCGAACGGTCTTTATTTGGGCCTTACCTAAAGGCTCCATAGTAGTTCCTTTTCGGGGTTCAGAATCCTATAATAAGGTAATTAATCCCCAAAAGAAACTACTATGGAGCCTATGGGTATGTTTCTTATAGATCTCTTTGTCAGACGATGGTCTGGCGTTATTCGCTTGTGCAACTTCTGCCCTCTAATCGCTGAGCGCTGCGAATCTCGAACTGCGCTGCGTGTCAGGCTACCTTTGAGCCTTGTCATGAGCGGAGTCTCACGTGTGGCGATCACCCTAAACCCTTAACCTGCCCCTTTCAACCGATTCAACAAACAAGTGCTCCTCACCCCTTTACATACCTAGAGGCTCCCTGGTCGTTCCTTTTTGGGGGTTCGTATTTAGAACCCTATAAGGTAATCCCAACAAGGAACTACTATGCTATGGGTAAGTTATGAGAACATATCCAAAGACTCTAACTACCTGCTTCCAGGGGCTTTTCTGTGGATAAAAGGTTCGAAGGATCATGCTGCCCGTCATCCTCCTCAATCTGTCCCTTTTGCCGTCCTCTTCGTGGCATGTCCGTGGTCTTTGTTGTTTATTGTTGGGGTTTAAGGCTTAGGGATTAGATTTGGAGTTTAGATTTTAGGCACTGGCTTTGAGTCGTAACGGCTGACTGATGAGTCCGATGCTCCACTGCTTATATGGAGTACCAGTGCCGTTGCTGGCAATGAACATGGCTGAAGCATGCTCATTGTGGTTGCTGAACGCATGACTATGACTAGTTTTATTGCTGTGTGGTACTGTACGTATTCGTAGCAGTTCGTGGCAGTGCGATGACTACTGCGGCTCATATGTATCTGTTCTTGTCCCATCGCAGCTGCAATTTCATCGTTTGTAAGTGCGCCTCAATGCATCATAATTATTGTTGTTGTTGTTGCTGTCATTGTGGCTGTCGGTGTTGCTGCAGCAGTAGTACATGAGGCTACGTAAGTTGTTCGTCTTTGCACTTGAGCTTCTCACCCGCCGTCATCCCTCAACCAAACCCACCCCCCCTGACCTACCAGACCTACACTCACACCGCGAACAGCCGTAATGCCCCTGCACTCAAACTGCACTGTAGGGGCCTTAATAATTGGAATAGGGGTTTGGGGGCCCATTATACTATAATCAGAACCCCCAAAATAGTACAGGCAATTAGAGGTTTTGGGGCCCATTACACTGTAACAACAACGAACCCCCCCAAAAAGTATAGGCAATTATTAGTTGAAGCCCCCAAAGTAGTCAAGTAGTCCCAAGGCCCAGACAAGGCCCGTCTCTGGAACTTTCTTGTCGGAATTGAGCTCCTCCCAGGCTTGTGTTTTTCCTACTTGTCGGGTATCATGGGGAACTAAAGGTTAACCCTTTTGGTTATATAGGGATTATATAGGGTTTATACTACCCAAAAAAGGTTACATAAAGGTTACCTACTCGACTACTAGGTTTTAGAAATGGAAAATGCTTGCAGCCCTGCTTGGAGGATCATGGGACTTAGCAAGGTTCCCTACAGGGCGCCTTAAAGGGATCTATAGGGTTCCTTAAAGGGATCTATAGGGTTTAGGGATCAAGGGACTTAGTAAGTATGGTTCTAAGTCCCTCAATTGGGGGTTGTAAGTAGTTGTCAGTATAGTTACCCTAATGATAACCCTGGTTGCTAAGTCCCATGATCCTTTAAGTGGGCATCAGCATAGCCCAAAAGCCTTATACAGTATGGTCTTCGGGCCGAAAGCCTTCATATATGAGTCCGTGGAGCCCTAGGGCAGGGTGTAAGGGTACGTAGGGGTTTAGGTACAGTTTCCCCCAACAATGTGGTCTTCCCACCAGTGTTTGTGTATCAGTGTGTGACTAGGGAGCACTACGATGAAGCATCGGGAGTTGGTGATTTGGGTTCTTCAGGGTCAGTTGCTTGATTTGAAGACTCTTTTACGTCGAGCCAGCGAGTTGTCCCTCTGGATGATCCCGCCACCAAGGCTTCATGCAGAGCAGGGCTACACTGCACGGCTGGGGAGGCCGCCCCACATCATCAAATCAAACCCATGGAAATTGAAACACATGGCCAAATCTAAAAACCCTGAATCGCGAGACTCTACACCCCCGAGGCCTGAACCCTCAGAAATGCCTCCACATCGGTGGCTTGCGGCAGAATGCTTCTGACCTGAATTTGCCCGCCAGACGAATGGTTACCGCTCCTTAAATCAGGGTTCACGGTTCAGACGTAGGGTACGAGAGTGGGCTACTTATTGACTTATAACCTTACTTCCTAAGTCCCATGATCCCCTAAACCCTAAACCCTCAACCCTAAACCTTAAAACTCCAAGTAGGCCTCGGGGTTTGGGGGCAGTGCGGGTGAGTCGGTCGCGCTCACCTGGCCAAGAGCTGGTTGGGAGGGTCCCACCACCCGAAGCCCTGAACCTGAACCCTCACAGTCACAAGGCCATGCATGCAGGCTCTTTGCTAAACCCTAAACCCTAAACCCTAAAGCTCTCCCGGCTTCACGGCGATAACGCCGCCTTGACAGTCAGGCATGAGAAACCCAGAGACGAAAGTACGACTGAATCCCAAACTCACCTCAAACAAGGAGAAACCTAGACCCTAAACCCTAAATCTCTGTCCCTAATCCCCAAACCCTGAACACTAAACCCTAAAGCTTGGGTCGCCGCCATAGGACATTCATCCAGCAGCCTGGAAGCAAGCAGGTTTCAGTGTCTCAGTGGCATCGGGGAATACGGAAGCCTCTTGATTGAACTTGTGTAAGCCTAAACCCTAAAACCCTTGGCCCTAAATCCTAAACCCTAAACCCTAAACCCCTAAACCCTAAACCCTAAACCCTAAACCCCTAAACCCTAAATCCGAAACCCTAAACCAACCATAGGCATCGGGAGCCCCAAAGAATGCTGCTACTGTTTGGGTTTAGGGTTTAGGGTTTAGGGTTTAGTTAGGGTTTAGGGTTTAGGGTTTAGGGTTGTCGGAGGGGGGGGGGGGCTTTAGTGCTTGTACGCTGCGCTGTAGAGCTACATGGAGCTAGCACATACCGGGTGCAGGGCTTCGGGGAAGCCTAGTATCATGCGGAGCATTCTCATACTCTAAAGCGCTACACCCCAAAACCCAAATACCTAAGCCCTAAGACCCTAAACCCTAATACCTAAGCCCTAAGACCCTAAATCCGAAAACTCTAAACCCTAATACCCTATACCTATGACCCTAAACCCTAAGACCCTAAACTGCGTAAACTAGCCGGATGGGAGCTCCAACACCGACCATCGTAAAAATCAGCGGTTTAGGACTGAAGGGCTTAGGGTTTCCCTGGGCATCAAAATAGCCCAAAAGCCTTATATAGTATGGTCTGTGGGCCCAAAAGCCTTAATATATGAGTCCTTGGAGTTATAGGGTTTTTTTTTAAGTTAGGCCGGGTTTGGGGTTAACGGTTCGGACTTTTTGCAGGAAACGACGGGCTGAGGTGCTGTATGCTGGCACGTCACACCGAACCCAAAAGCGGAACCCCATAGTCTTTGCAGTTTATGGCCTTTTTGGCTTCGGAAATGTGGGTGTAGGGTTCGCGAAATGAGGAAGAATCAGGAGTTTAGGGTTTAGGGCTTCGGGTATAGAGATCAGGCACTCGGACGAGGAAGTGGGAAAATGGCTTTAGGGCTGGATGGACAGCTCAGGATGCCGCAGCATCCCTCAGGGTTTAGGGTTTAGGGTTTGGGTTTTAGGGTTTAAGGTTTAGGGTTAGGGGTTTAGGGGTTTAGGGTTTACCCTAAACCAGGGCTTAGGGTTTTCTGCTGTCCAAGGATGATAAAGTTCTATGAAACATACTAAATAAAATCCCCTTGATTACTCGCATCATCTTACGTCCATACATTTACCCAACGGCCTACCTTGATAACAATCTACGGAGCCATATCCGACCCTAAATGCCCCCAACCCTTGGAAGACTTGGCAGGATGTCCACAATGGGCCTCAAGTATGAGAACAGGGTTTTCGGGATACATACTGTTATATACCAGTGAAGTAATTCGGGACCAACCGACTAACCTGATATCAACCTTTTGGGGATCAACTGCCGCAGTCCGGGCTGCAAAACTTTGCCTTGGAATCCCCTGGCGGAAAACTACCAAACTCTCGGCCACAAACTCCATGGCCTTTAGCCCTTAGACGCAATATTAGATGCCTTGGCAACAATCACAATCATGTCAGCAGCATGAAATAGGGACTATGAAGCATATTCCTGCCAAACACTGTTACGGCACCCAGACAAAGCGAGGCATTAGCAGCTTCAACCGCCGGGGCACAGCAAAGGAGGGCGGCGCAACGCCACGCGTGCCAGGGACAGAAGGTACCTTGCAACTCACGGCGTGCAGCGAATTTCATGCAACAGTTCAAAGTTAATGGCGTGGTTATTATCCTTACCTTGACCTACTATAACAGTGTTTTTCGGAAGCTCTTGTTGAAAAGCCTGATATAATATTTCTTTTCGGGACCCTACTACCCCCCAAAAAAATTATGGTACGTATGTAAAGGTTGAGACGGTTAAGGTATTCGTCTTGCGCAGGCATAGTTCAAGCTTAAAGTCTCGAGTTTTAGGGCTCTGACTTCAGGGTTAAGGCTTAAGGGCTTTACGGTTGGCGGGCGCCGGACTGACATGTGGGCCCTAATATAGTCCTTATAGTCACTATTACAGGGTGGGGGCAGCTTCTAAGTTATACTTCTCTAAACTATGGTCCCTATTAAGGTCCATTTTAAAAGGCTGCCGCCTTCTTTCGGGCTCCTAAAACGGGACCCTAATTTCGAGAACTACCCATGTGCGACCGCTTTATAGCGCAGGATCTGCCTTATCTCGGGCCTTTAACAATTCACCTACATGAAGTATTGGGAGAGAACAACACTGCAACCAATCTGGACATCAAACAAAAACAGCAAAATAATAATATTCACGGAGAAGAAGGCTTCTCCATTACCGGGTTCTGTTTTGAAGCCTCTTCTCCCAAGGATCTTCCGTACGAAGCACCTACATTCCACCATGGTCTTGAAGGGTTTGACCGAAGGCCACTCAACCCTACTTGGAGGATCATGGGACTTAGTAAGTAAGGTCATAAGTACCGTAATTAAGGTTATAAGTATAGTTACCCTAATTATAACCCTAGTTACTAAGTCCCATGATCCTTAAAGTAACCCCACAACCACCTCTCCTACGAAACACAGTCATAATAAATAGAGCAAGGACAGCAACAGTATATTAAAGACCTACCAGTAAAATGGCGAGTGTACTTCTGATGATCTTTCTCAGAACCACAGCCCCAAAAACTGCAAGACACAGAGAACAATGCTAATTTGGGTGTGCCTCTGCTCTTTCGCCGCTCAATATTCTCATAATCATCATCTAATCTACCCCGAAACCCTGTTCTAACCCTGAGCGCCCCTATGTTACTTTGGGCGTGCCTCTGCTCCAGGGAAAGGTTGCCCCCATCAGCTGCGAGGACGGTACCCAACCCCTGGAGAGATGAGGTCTCTGAGGCTTAGGGTCAGGGCGTGGGGCTTAATTCCCAAAGGGTCCAAGTATCATTATGGTATATACTTATAGGGTATTTTGGAGGTCTAAGTATATACCATAATGATACTTGGACCCTTTAAATATGGGATTATGGCTTAGGGATTTGGGTTCAGGGTGTAGGGCTTATAAGTTTTGGGTTTCGGGTTTAGGGCTTACTTTAGGGTTTAGGGGTCAGGCTTCAGATCGGGGATTTCTGCTTCAGCGTCTAACTTCAGGGTCCCGGAACGTGGTTCCTAAGGTGGCTCGTCCAGGATGGCTTCAGAACTTCCAGCGGCTCCCACATGCGTCAAAGCAGATTTCGTGCAGAAAGCATGTCCCAACTTTCTCCCAGCAGCGCTGGCCGAACGGAAGTCACCAATACGTTGCTCAGAGTTGGCGCGAAGCCACTGCTCAGCGGCCCAATGCAAGGCCTCCCGACTGTCCTCGAAACCATCCCTTTGGCAGTGGGAAGGCCGTCTTGTCCACGTCGCTGTGCACGAAGCGATTCGGAGCGGCTGTCGGATTCGGAGACACCGGTGCTGTCATGCTCATCAGCACGAGACCATGTGCCACCGGTGCTGTCATGCCGATCGTTACGCCACTAGATCAGCATCGACATGTACTACCACAGCCCTGGGCAAGGTGCGGGTTTGAAGGGGTTCGAAGGATGGTTGGAGGTTTGAAGGATGGTTCGCGTGGCTTGGCATCGGCACCTCGGATGGACGACCCGACCCCCCCCAGCATGCTTCTTAAACAACCGTAGCACGTGCGAGGCAGTAAGAAGGACTGGATATCAAACTCAGGCTCAACTCCTGGCGGTGAATTCAGCTTAAGCCTTGGGACCCTACTCTCCGTACAGTGACCTTTGATTAGCAGGGAATGGAGGAATGGGGTACGATTATAACTACTATTACTACCATTCTTCCATTCCCTACTAACCAATGGTAAGTACTGTCGGACGTCTTTAGTCAGTTGTGGTTTCTTTCTCGTCGCTGATGTTTGTTGGTTTGGTTGCCGATCTTCTGTTTTAGTTGGCAGTGTGGCGTGGCCTAGCCATCTTCCGTAAGGTTCTTTACTGTGCGTCAATATAGATGGGTGGTTGTCAAAATTAGGGTCCCTTCTTGGGTCCATATTATAGCACGGCACCTAATATTTAGGGTACCCAAAAAGGGCCATAATTTCGACAACCACCCAGAAAGTATCCCCCAAAACCCGATTCTGATTATGTGCGGGTTCAAGTTCCGGGAGGCATGGAATGCCCACCCCTACCAGTTGCATTAAACCCTCAGCCCTCAGCACCAAAACCCTGAATATAGGGGCCACAGTAAATAGGAGCAGGGTTTTGGGAGTAGGGTATAGTACTCAGAACTACAAGGGGCCTGTAGGGGAATCAGATGACTAATGATTCAGGGCTTCCACCCTCAACCCGTAACCCTCGATTCCCAAAGGGTCCTAGTATATAGGTACTTGGTAAGTATCTGGGCCCTCAAAGTATATGGCACAAAAGAATCCTTACTTGGACCCTTTGGGATTACCCAGAGGCCCCAAAGTAGCTTCTTTTGGGGATTACCTTGTAGGATACTATACATGAACCCCAAAAAGGAACTACCTTGGGGCCTTTGAGTAGAAACCACGTCTCTGATGCCTGGGGTTTTGCCGCAGCAATGGCATCGAGACCCACGCCTCCGAATCCGCAACTTGTCTGGAGTGTTGTGAAGTTATAAGGGCTCTACCAGGGTTTACAGTTTAGGGCCCTAGAAGGGCTTATGGGGCATAGGGCTCTTCTTGAAGGGCGTAGAGGGTTTAGGGTTCTTCAAAGGTTTCGGGCTTCGGCGCGGGTTCTAGAAGTGTTTCTAGGGTCACGGGTTAAGATTCAGGGCTTCGGCGCTAAATAGTGAGGGACGGCCGACAAAGGCTGTTTCTGCAGACTGGCTGTTCTTCGTCATTGGTATCGTGATCGGGTTTGTAGCGCTGCGAGCGGATATCTCTCGCACACTGGCACACGGGATAGAGGATGCTAGAACGAAATACTCAGGTGCCTATAGTCCTTGGAGGATCACGGGACTTAGTAAGTCAGGTTTTAAGTACCTTCATTGGGGTTATAGTATAGTTACCCTCCTGGTTACTAAGTCCCACGATCCTTTCAGTAACACTCTCTTCTAGACCCCTTATATAGATCCCTTTTAAGGAGCCCTTTAAGGAACCCTATAGTTACTAAGTCCCAGGATCCTTGACGTAGAGGACAGGCTCCGGGGTGTGAGTGTGAGGCCGAGGCTGGACGAGGCAAGTTCGAGAAGACACTCCTCAAGTCTTACTTAAACGACCATGGGACTTAGTAGCCAGGGATATAATTAGGGTAACTATACTTATAGCTACTTATAACCCCAATTGAGGTACTTTTTACCATACTTACTGAGTCTCGTACCTACAGTCTCCATTGTAGCTCCTTGTTAACCATATATATATATATATATATATAACTAGGATCCTGTAGGGTAACCCCAAAAAGGAACTACAATGGAGACTATAGGTAGCATCGCTGCAGTGACGGACGCCTCGCGCAATGTTTGCTATGGCACCGCTGATAATATCGAGAAGAGCGGTAAGCTTCAAACCCGAACAGCTTCGCAGCATTGTCTGAATCCATACAAACCTAACGAAGACTCAAACTAGATAAACGCAGCTCTAAACCCAGCTTGCCAAATCCGAAGCTCCAATTCCTGAGAATGAATAACCAACAGTAGGGGCCTAAATAAGTGCCAACACTATGTTGGGGCGGGGGACTCCTTATAAAAATCATAGCATAATGGGCCCAAAAACATTTTTTTCTAATTATTCAGGGCCCTAAGCCCCTAAACCCTAAACCCAAAACCACAAAACCCTAAACCCTAAACCCTAAACCTCAAAACCCCGAAACCCTCAACCCCAAAACCCTAAACCCCAAAACCCTAAACCCCAAAACCCTAAACCCCTAAACCCTAAACCCCAAAACCCTAAACCCCAAAACCCCCAAAACCCTAAACCCCCAAAACCCTAAACCACCGCCCTGGCGACCTCGGAGGAGGGCCCAGAGCGCCTCGTCTGTGAACCTTCGGTTCAGCAGCAAGTGTCATTATAGGGTCATTAGGATAATATAGTCATTATAGGGTCATTAGGATAATATAGTCATTATAGAGTCATTAGGATAATATAGTTATTGTAAGGGATATGATACTATAGTTATTGTAAGGGTTATTATACTGTAGTTATTGTAACGGTTTTTATACTATAGTTATTGTAAGGGTTATTATAGTGTAGTTCTTGTAATGATAATTCTAGTTACGAAGGCCCCTGCACTGCGGGGCGCAGGGGACCGTTTTAGTGAAGGGCCTTACGGTTTAGGGTTTGATCATCCATCTCATTTCGACCCCTCCCTCCCTCCCTCCCTCCCGCTTACATTGTATGTTCTGGTGTTGGTGCTCAGACTTACAGTATATAAGGTTTCGATCGTTTCATGGACAGTTCCCTAGCGGGGAAGGTTGCATCTGGGTGTCTAGGGTTTCGGGCTTGAGGGCTTACATGCTTTGTTTGTTTCACGGTCCCTTTTCCGTCAGCTGTCCACTGTCTCCAGCAAAGCCACAAAAAGTCCCACAGTGTGGGCACCTATAACGACAATGGGAGCACACCAAAAACTCGCTCACCGCCCCGTCCCAGGTTTAAGGCGCTTGGGGTTCAGGATTTGGAGTTTTTGCTTTTTAGTGGAACAGAACATTCCTTTTGCCGCGTGAGGTGCGTGCTAGCTAGACTCCACCCTCTGTTGCAGCTTGTAATCCTTATCAGGACCTTGTCAAAAACAAAGGTTTGGGGTTCAGCTAGGGTTTAGGGTTCTTGGAGGATCATGGGATTTAGTAAGTAAGGTTATAAGGACCCTACCTGGGGTTATATTTAGTTTTCAGTCTAGTTACCCTAATTATAGCCCGAGTTGCTAAGTCCCATGATCCTCTAAGTTGGAGTTTAGGGAACCTATGGAACTAGGAAGCTGAGCCAGCTGAGCCCTCCCACGCAACTCCTCACCCCTTCAAACTTCACGAAATTAGACACCGAACCCCGAAACTTTACCCGACTCAATGCATGAGTCAAGAGGCATCTTGTCTCCTGCCTTATCCCCAAACAGCCTACCCTTTTACGCTGCCTTACTATGACGTACCCATCCTTTATTAAACAGGAGATTCTTCAAGAGCCGAGGTAGGACGTATACTTCACAAGTTTTCAACTGCAAATCAAGAAGGAAGAGAGGTTCAGAAACCGTGCGGTACGGGTCGAGGGTTCGACGATCAAATACAGGGACCTTAATGATTGGAAAAACGAGGTTTGTGCTGTATCACAATATTGCTATTTGCAGACGATGTGGGACCCTCCATGACTGCATTTGGCTGCAGGCTCAGGATTGCTCTTAACCTTCAGTTGTCTCAACAGGTGTTCCCGGCACCACAGGAGTTGATAGGCGCTAGAAACAACCCCTGGAACCTGACAAGACTGCCCGGCTTTTGTAGGGTTTAGGGTTTGGGGATTAAAGTTTAGGGCTTGGGGCTTAGAGTTCAGGGTTTAGGGTTGAGGGTTTAGGATGGTGGTTGGCTCTTCAAAACATGCTCCTCTCGATTTTGGGCTGTAACGAGAGGTGTACCACAAGACAACAGTCTACCCCGACACCCGCACCCTCGAAATGAACCCTGATTCCCAAACCTTATACAGCCGAAACGACAGCCGAACACTACACACCCTACACCCTAACCTCCAAACCCCAAACCCTGAAGCCGAAACCACACACCCTACACCCTAACCTCCACCAGCCCTAAACCAGAAACCCTTAACACCCAGCTCCCGCCTGTCTTCAAGGTCGAGATTCTCACGCCAAGTGCCCTCCCACACCACTGGCTCCTTCCAGCTAGGACTTCGAATGAGTTACTAGAACGTTTTCCAAATGTTGTACCGGTTTAGGGGTTTAGGATTTAAGGTCTTCCACAATTTGTAGCGGTTTGTCTGTTCTGGTTAGGACCCTATAAACGAGGAGCTGGCGGGAGAGTCGAGGTGAATCAATCCAATGGCATCCGACCGAACAGCCGATTGTCGAGATTCTACCCTTAACCCTTTATTGAACTACCCAAACCTGCTTTTTTTCGGGATCTCTACCAAATCGGTATGAGGCCTTCTATGGTTTTTAAATGAGAACCTACAATCAGCTGGGTTATGGCAGTTGGAGTTGGCATGTCTCGAAAGGAACGCCGCGGGAGTAAGTTGGCGTTTTGGTCGGGACATACCTCGGTGATGCTCCTTGTTGTTGATGCCTGGCTCCACCACGGATGAACCCCCAAACCTCCAATCCTACACCCGGAACCCTGCCAACTATCTCTGAGAGGCAGGCAAAGTGCTAGGAAGTCTCAGAACACCTTCAAACTCTCAAGCTCTTACAGTCTCAACCGTTGCTAAGGCCTAAACTGTGGCGCAGGGGAGGTCGGAGGGTTTGAGGTTTCAGGGCCTGGGGCATTGAGGTGAAGGCTGTTCGGTTTAGGGTCACGGGCTTGGGGTGCCATCATGGAAGAAAGACCGCATGATTATCAGCAGTGGCGTAAGAAACACTCTTTCGAGGTGTAAGCCCCCCCCGAAACCCGAGATCCGAGGCCGAGGATCCGAGGCCCTACAAACATCCAAACCATATGGTTTGGATTTGGTGGTTGAGGCGTTTAGGGGTTTAGGGGTTTTGGGGTTTAGGGCTTTTTGGTCCAAACTCCGCGGTTTGGGGTGTTTCGGGCTTGGGATTGGAGTTGTTTTTATGGCCACAATGACACAAAGAACACACAGCCCAAAACCGCAAGACCCAGTAGAAACCAAAGCCATCTCCTCAACCCTAAATCCTAATCCCGTAGTATGCTGCGGCGCCCTGAACCCATAAAAGGGAGCTTGTAGGAACCTGCACAGGAAGCTTGAGAGGAACCCTTGGTCCTGCGAAACAAAGCCAATGAAGTTCTCCAGACCCTCTGCCGCCAGCTGGCCCTGGGGTCAGGATGCGGTCGAGGGCTTTAAGGCTGTAAGGTTTTAGGAGGTGAGGGTTAGGGTTTGAGGATCTTTCAAGAAGGCTCATACGAATTTTCTGAAGGACGTAGGGTGATGTTGTGGGGCTCTTTTGGGGTTTTGGATATTTATAAGGTGTTGGTATGCTTGGTGGTGTGGGTGGAATGCTCTACACCCCTGAATAATGAACCCCACGTGTTTAATTCAAGGGCCCTAATATAGTGCGATCCCTATGTTAATTTCTGTCAAGGCGAGGGAGTCTGTTAATCAGAGGTCTACAGCAAAGGATCAGGTATTTAGAGGCTTTATGGAGGGCCAGGGGCAAGGTAGGCAGTTTAGGAAAGGAGTACAGTGCCCGTGTGGCCTTTTGAGAAAGTTAGGGAATTGAGGCTTAGGGTTTACACTTTTGGTGGTTTGGGGCTGAAAGGGTTTACCTGGACCCAAGTAACCTACCTTTTGGGGTTCCTCATTGTGATTCCCTAAACAAGACCCTTAAAAAGGCAGGGTTTTTGGATCCAGGTACGGTTTCAACGGTTTCAAACCCTAGGTCCCTGAGTTCGGATTCCCCAAGCGCCTAAGACATAATGCGACAGAGGAGTTTCAGAGAGTAGGGTGCCCGCACATAGACAAAGGTTTACAGTAGAAGCCGGAAAGTTGGAATATCATTATCGTAGCCCCTTTAAGGCAAATTATAGGGTATCCTACCATTAATCCATATTCCAACTTTCTGGAGTTCCCTGTATAGGGAATAACCCAGCTATCGATATCACCGCTGAAGCCTTTGAAGTTTTTGCTCTCAAAACAGCCATAAGCCCCTAAACCCTAAACTTCAAGCAATCTACAAGGGCATGGGACCTCGACACAAACTCCATCACAGTGGTGAAGTCCAGCAGCTACGGCGAGCAGTTTGGACCTTGCGTTGGACATCTGGGTAGAAAAGCCCCGAACCCTAAATCCGAAAAGCCCCAAACCCGAAACCCCAGACCCTAAAAGGCCCTCAACCCGAAACCCGAGCCCAGAAGCCCGAACCGCAAAGACTAAAAACCGCCAAACCTGTTGTGGCCCCTTGAAAGGACCCTGCGGGTTCATTTTGATGAAACCCAAGGGCTCTTCGAGGAGGCTTTTGAGGTGGTGCTTTGGGGTCTCGAAAGTTTTTTCAACCACAAGGGCGTTGAGGGTTTCGGGTTTCTTGGCTCCCGAGTAGCCCATTAAGCATTTATAGGGGTACCCTTCTCCTGCTATTTGGTTTTAATCCGCTTCCTACGATTTGGTTTTAAATAATCGGCGAGCCCAAAAGAAACAATGCAAAAGGGTACACCTGAGGAACCTAGGCAGTATGGGCCCCTGAATATGGACACTTGAGGAATGCAGTTGGGCTTCTGGCTTACTTAAAGGATCATGGGACTTAGTAACCAGGGTTATAATTAGGGTAACTATACTTATAACTACTTATAACCCCAATTAAGGTACTTATAACCGTACTTACTAAGTCCCATGACCCTCCAAGTAGGATTTCGATGCAAATGTGATGCTCCGTGCCGTGTTCACGTGCGAGCGTGCCCCGCTCTCTGGCAATCCGTACTTAAAGGATCATGGGACTTAGTAACTAGGGTTATAATTAGGGTAACTATATGTACTTATAACCCCAATTAAGGTACTTATAACCCTACTTACTAAGTCCCATGATCCTCCAAGTACCCAAGTAAGGATGCACATCATGTAGGGGCGTTAATACTTCAGTCGATCAGGGCATTAAGGATCCCCAAATCATTGTTTAAGCCGCCATAGTATGTCGGACTTTCATATGCAGGTCAGTCAGTGCAAGCTCTGGTGTGTAAATTTGAACGACTGACTGAGAGAACCATTGTAGAACCGTGGCAGAATGTTCTCGGCTCAATCGTGTCCTGCCCAGCGCCAGGCTGCATCGGTAGATCTGGTCTCAGCCGCGACCAAAGGCTGAAGCTTCATGTGTTGATGCCTGTTTTCAACATCCACCCAAACTCATGACCCTTTTAGTAGCCCGTATAGAAGGGTTAAAGGACCTTATAGGAACCCTGAAAATCTGCTGAGGGCGGCACTTCCCGGAGCCAGAAGGTCCAACTACGGCCACCTGGGTCTGGGTGTTTCGGGTCGAGTTCAGGGGCTAGGGTTCCAGGCTCGGGGTTCGAAGGGTTTAGGATTGAAGGTGCCTTTTTGGGGCTTGGGAGTGTAGTGTTCCTTCAAAGGTTTCCATGAAGCGTTCCCTGAAGGGCTCCTTTCCGGGTTCCTGTAAGCGTCTCCTTGCAGGTTCTTTAAAGTTTAGGGCTTTCAGATCAGACCCTTTATTTTGCGTGAGCTTCAGCACTGGCGTATGTGTTTGGGAGTTTCTAAACATTAGGGGTACCTCATTTTGGTGTCCTTATAATAAGGATCCTACTACTTAGGGTGATATATTATCCTATTTTCGGGACCCCCCCTTTGGGGATCTGGCTTAGGATGAAGCTCCGGCTTTGTGGAGGTCTAAAGGAAAGACTCAGGTCTGTAGGATCCTGCGAATACGGCAGGTTGAGGCCGGAAACACTAGCAAGCAGCATTTGGGACTCTCCGAAAATAGGAGACCCTAATACGGCACCCTAAATAGTAGGATCCTTGTTATACGCACCCCAAAATGTGGTACCCCTATTTTCGGAAACTCCCTACCATAATCCCTATTATAGAACCCTTATAGATCCCTTATAGTAACCCTTTAAAGGGACCCTTAGGTACCCCTAATCTTAGGTCTTAGGAAACTCCCATTTTAGGGATTCGGGGCTTTGGGGGCTCGAGGGTTGCTCCAGGGTGCAGTGCTTCACGGCTTGGGGCTTAGATTTGCAGGGCTAAGATTTACTACTTGGGCAGGGTGTATGTATGTACGTATGTATTTATGTACGTATATGTGTAATATATATATATATATATATATATATATGTAGATATACACATGTAATGCACCTTTAGAGAGAGAGGATCGGTTCCAAATGCCGAATCGTAGCGAATCCTGGTAGCAGCTCAGGTTCGACCCTGTAAATTCAATTGTAAAACGCAGCATAAGCTCTGATAACCTACTTTTTTTAGGTTTAGGGGATTTAGGGCTCAGGGGGTTTAGGGTTTAGGGAGTTTGGGGTTTTTTTAGGCTCACTAATTCATTACTATGATTTCTTTTCCACACGGGTCTTCGAAGGATTCAAGCAACCGTTGAGGGGCCCCCGTGTCGTACCCTAAGGCTCGATGTACCTTTCTGGCAAAAACATTGGCCCACTTTAAGGTAGGGCACGCACCTATAGCGTATATACTTCAGCCCTACACTGCCCAGAAAGTCACGATCTTACGGCCAAAGTTTGTAAAAACTATATGGATATATGGAGCCTTGGGGCTGGGAATCCTAAGCCCTGAACCCCAAAACTGCACCCTAAACTCTAAACCCCTGAACCCTAAACCCTGAATCCTAAGCCCTAAACCCTAAACCGTCTCTTGGCGGCCGCACGTGGGATCCTCTGGGCACCTTGAAGTTGAGCGGAACTGCTTTCGTGAGGCCTGGGAGCATGTTTGCGGTCGTAGGGGCTTCAGGGTTTAGGGGTTAAGGGGTTAGGGCTTTGGGGGCTTCAGGATTTTGGGGTATGGGGTTTAGGGGTTTGGGGTTTAGGAGCTAGGGTTTAGGGGCTTCAGGTTTTGGGGGCGTAGGGGTTGGGATTTGGGGTTTTAGGGGCTTAGGGTGTCAGAGGTGTTTCAATTTACAAGGTCCTGCTGGCATCTACAGGTTTTCTCTCGGAAGCGAATCTCAGAGCCCTCGCCCTTGTTAACTTTAGCATAGGAGTGCCCTGCGACATGAGAATCACCTCGTCCATCTTGGAGCGTTCGTCGGCGATGAACGCGTTGAACTTGGTGGGGAAGGCAGTTCTCATGGTGCCTGATGAAGCCAGCTGCCCTTGCGATGAGTGCCATCTTCGCCTGGGATCAGTCCGCGCAAATCTCGGATCTCCGAACCGAGCGCAGCGAGCTTTTGTCTGTAGTAGCGCAGCTGCCACTGCAACGCGCAACACAAATGCGGCATTTCATCAAACGGCATTGTATCGAACTATGGGTGGCCAACAACCACCTTGCTCATGTGCGTTCTTACCAGACCACCGCCTTAGTTCTTTCTTCGAAGGGGGGTGGGCTGTGTGGTTTTACAATGTTCTCTGTACGGATTTGAAAGGCTTACAGGGGTTTTACTAAGGGTTGTACAAGGGTTGCTCCGTAGGTTCAGGACTAGTTTTGGATTTGGTGTTTGGGTTGGGTTCTTTGGGGGTTAGGGTTTAGGGACGTGTGGGTGAGTTCAGGGTTTCGGGCTCAGGAGCATCGGGTGGCGAAAAGGCTTCGATCGGGGCCTAAGCGCTGAGGCTGGGTTCCGGTAGCTTTGGGGTGTAGGGTGTAGGGCTTTAGGGTTTAAGGGTTATGGGTTTAGTGTGTGACCCGTAAAGGTCTTGATGATTTTCGGATCCCTCTTGCACTTTGTGTTCGATATTTGGATCTTTTTTGACCAGGAAATTCCCAAGGTGTAGTATACGGAACTGCTCCGTCAGAGGAGGGCCCTTATATGATCATCCTGTGCATACCTGTTCCCCACAAACCGAAAACCAGATAACCCTAACCCCTAAACTAGCAGCTAGACTTTCGGAACTCCTAGGGTTTAGGGTTCAGCTTTTAGGTTTAGGGGTTTAGGGTTTAGGGTTTAGGTTTTAGGGGTTTAGGGTCAGGAGTTAACAACAACCCAATGTCGCTCATAGGCTGGGCCCGGCTGCGTATCAAACCGAAACACTGCAAGCCTGAGTCCTCCTAGGTTACCCAGTAACCTAAGAATAAAAAGGCCCCTCTTTTTGGTACTGGGTAACTTTATAAGGAACCTAAGACTACAAAAAGGGAATAAGGGTACTACTGGGCATCCTAGAAACGGACATCGAACCGCTGAAGAGACCCAAACCTCGAACCAGATACATCGAAATTCTGCACCCCGAACCCTAAAACCGAAACCCTAAACCCGAAACCCCAAACCTTAAACCATGTAAAAAATCTTCAGCCCTAAGGTCATAGCTCCAGAATCCACAACGATGCGAATTCTCCGCCTAAACCCTAAACCCTAAATCCTACATCCTAAATCTAGATACCCCTAAACCCTAAACCCCTAAACCCCTAAATCCTAAATCCTAATGTTCTAAACCCCTAAACCCTAGACCCTCAAATCCTAAATCCTAATGTTCTAAACCCCTAAATCCTAAAACCTAAACCCTAAACTCTAAAACCCCTAAACACCCTGAAACCCCTAAAAACCCCAACATTCCCTGCCTAGGCCTCCCAGGGCCAAGCTCACGTTGTCGAAGGAAACGGAGAGCCCGGTCCTAGACATGGTCTTTGTGGCCTTAAAGGGTTTAAGGGTAAAAAGCTTTGGGGGTTTAGGGGTTTAGGGTTTAGGGGTTCAGGGGTTTAGGGCTCCAGGAGTTTAGGATTTTAGGTCTTTGTGGTTTTAAAGGGTTTGAGGGTATGGAGCTTTGGGGGTTTAGGGTGCAGAGCTTTAGGAGCTTTAGGTTTTCGTGGTTTTAAAGGGCTTGAAAGGTATATCGAGTTTATGGAGCTTTAGGGGTTTAGGATTTGGTCTTTGTGGCTTTAAAGGGTTTAAGGGTATAGAGCTTTAATTGGGGGTTTAGGGTTTAGAGCTTCAGGGTTTGAGGGTATGGAGCTTTAGGGGTTTGGGGTTTAAGGTTTCAGGGGTTTTGGTTTGGTCTTCGTGGCTTTAAAGGGTTTAGGGATTCAGGGGTTAGGGTGTAGAGCGTTAGGGATTTAGGGTTTGGTCTTTGTGGTTTTAGAGTTTGAGTGCTTACGATTTTAACAGGGTTCTTTCGCGACTTTCCTTTAAGTAGAGTAAGGTTGGGCCTGTGGCTTTACAAGTTAGTGATTATGGTGTTAACAGAGTTCTTACAGAGCTTTCCGCTAAATATTAACGGCTCCTAGTAGGGTAGAGTTGGGGTTGGGTCTTAAGGACCTTTGAACTTTTGGTGACAGTGAAGGGCTGGGGTCGGGAGCCTCGGATGCGGGGCAGAGTTTATGGAAGTCATGTGCAGGAACGAGTGTCCTCTGGAAAAACAGGAATCCACATCACTCATGGATGACAACAGCCGCGTTCGAGGCATGGGAATGAGGCATTTGCATCAAGAGTATGTAAGAGTAGCCAGACTTTTTCGCCACACAGCTGACAAGATGAACCAATGGGTAGTATGATGTAGCTACATCGTACCAGTATCATGATGCTCTTTCTTATGACGATGGGCAGCTGTCAGTCAGGAGATCGGAAAATTGCTCACTGCTCGTGCTGCACAGAGGCGTCGCTCTAAGCCCTATAACTTCCCAATCCCGAAGTTACATGCTATAGGGGCCATAATTACTGACATTGTTTTGGGGGTTCCTTATTATGATTCCAGCAGAATATACCCCCCAAAAACCTACTCTAATTAATTATCAATGCCTCTATATCCTAGACCGTAAACTTCAGAATCCTATGCCTTTAAGCCCTGATCCCAAATATGCGTGCGAGCTGGCACGCTTCGGCGCGGGATCTCGCAGCATTCTTGCATGAGGGCATATTTACGGTGAGGGCCTCAGGCGGTGTGGTCAGGGTGGGAAAATTCCGTTGGGCCTTAGACCGAATCCCGGACAGGATATTCCCTAAAACATCCTACGGTTGATGATATAAATCTTGCATTACCTTATGGACCCTAAACTATGGAAATTATGGTAGATTCCTCATTGTGGGTAATGCAGGATTTAGATCATCAGCCGTAGAACCCTAAACCCCCCTGAGACTCCTACACCGAGCCCCAGGCATGATACTGGAGTGTCGTAGACCCAAGACCAATGGCGAAGAGCTGGCAGATGCCTTGCAGGGGCTAGTGGTTTTAGGGGTTTTGGGAGTGCAGTTTAAAGTTTAGGGTGTAGGATCTGATGAGGGTTTTTTAGCATGTAGGGTCCAGGGCTTCAGAGCTTGACGTTGATTATGTAGGGCACTTATTGAATGAAGCTGCTTGCGGCACAAGAACCGGGAAACATACCAAAAAAGCTAGAGCATACTTAAACGTTTACTCAGAACCAAAGATGGACAATGCACATGTTCGCCACACGGAGGAATGCAGGTCCGCTCTGTTTGCACACTTCAAGGAACAAAGATTAGAGAACCAAGCACCAACTGAATATCATCATGTCTGACGCTAGCAAGCAGACTTTGGAGCGGACGGTCTTTATCTATCTATCTGATACATGCTGCTACATGCCAGAAGCTACCGCTGCCACTACATACTAGAAGCAGCTCTTGTCGAACTAGTAGATGCCACCCTACTCTCCACAAGCCCATAAAACCCAAACCCACAACCCCTGAAACCTAACCCCCCTAAATAGCAAACCCTAAACCCCTAAACCCCAAATCCCGCAAACCATACACCCAAAACCTGATCTTTGGAGCACGGCCGGCCTTGTGTTTGGCAGTCAGCAACACATCTGCCATGTCCTGAAGCTTGGGTTTATTGTTTTTTATGGCCCTTTTCCAACTGGTGTGCAGCGGGAATTCCTTACCGCTTCGGGCTTAGCTAACGCTTCGGGTACTTTAATTTAGGTTTTGTCGTTTCAAGGACTCTTTTGGAGTTCAGTTTCGGGTTTCTTTTTACGGCCTCTATGCGCACGAAGGTTTGCGAACATGCCTTTTAAACAAGCCCGATTGCGCATCGGCACAGATTCGAGCTGCTGTCGAAACTCGGGGGAGGTGTTTGAGAGTTGCTTTAAACCCAGCAGGTCCTTTCTATCTTCGTTGGGGTATTCGGCGACTGTCGAGGTATTCTCTTTCGACTGGCAAGGTCTATTCAAAACTAAGATCTAGCCAGTATCTCGGGAGATGTCCTCGTCTGTGAGACTTGGTGTACTTTATCCTACCTTCATATCCCGGAGCAAAAACCACGTGATGCATGGGGTCGGAAGGCGGTGTAGCCAATGTCTTTGTAAGTTGCTTAAACTGTATCGACGTGATAGCTTGCGATGGAGTGGTTGGCTTCTGAGCCAGCCTGCAGACCCTGTAGTTAGGAACATGAGAGTAATACTAGGCCTTGACACATAAGCATCTTCAAAGATATTGGTAATACCACGCGTCTATGGATTTGAGGTGTTTGATGAACTTTCTGTTCAAGACTTATCCTGCTACGCCAGAAATGCTGTAGTTTCATGTATGCTACATGGGCCTAGTTTCGGATTTAGAGGGGCTTTAGGGTTTACGGGTTTAGGGTTCAGGATTCTGGAGTTTAAGTTTGGTTTAGGGTTTCCCGGAGCTAAGAACTCGATAACGACGTCGTCGGTCGTGCACTGGGTTCTGGATTCAGGAACATGATTAAGCTTCCATGTAAACATGCCTTCATGTTTTGCTGCAGGCCCCTACTATGGTAATTTAAGCTGCGCATCCTAGTCCTAGGCGAAAACCTTAGGAACCCTTAAAGAAGCCTTTGGGTCCTTATCATGGTATCTCAAAACAAGCTCCTTGACAAGAGCCCAGCCTGGGCCTGTTCGAGAAGTGCGATCCCTTGCCTCCATGAAGCTCAAGAGTCGAAACGACGACGAACACTTCAGGGGGAAATGGGACTTGGGCAAGCCACAAGAGGAACCACATTGTGCTATGTACACCATTATACGAACTACTCGAAAGGACTCATATTGTAAGCTTCCATTCATCAAGTCGAAGATCATACCACGTGAGGCTTCTGCGCTACTCTGAGCCATAAGTTACCGCAAAGGCTCTGCATGCCGGCTGAAAAGCGATCAAAAGTCCTCGATTCCCCTGGGGAGTACACTGCTCCGTGGACCCCAGTAGTATCAGCCCTCTAGAAACCAGGGAACAAAGGAAGACTCCTTTCTTATGATGGCTACGGAAGACACTAGTCCCTAAATCCCCATGTTGCCAGCCCGCCAGAAATCACGGAATTCTCCTAAGTTCTGGCCCTAAACCCTAAACCCTAAACTCCGAACCCTATACCCTGAACTCTAAACCCTAAACTCTACACCCTAAACTCTAAACCTGTAACCTTATGGTGCGCAGCTTTACGGCTCCATGCCTGGGCATCGAATGCAGCGTTGTTGACGTAGACGATGCAGTAGTCCTGCTGCGGCTCTGGGTTCATCTCTAGCCCTACCTGTAGCTACGAGTTCCTCTTCAAGCCCGCTGTATCTACAATCTTGGGCTTAGGGTTTAGCAGGGTTTAGCTTTTTCTGGGATCTACAATCTTGGGTTTTAGGCTTCCGAATTCTGGCTCATATATATATATATATATGTACTCCCCTGAAAAATGGTTCCTTGATGGGATTGCTTTATAGGATCCTAACTATAGATTAAAAGCGGAATTACCATGGAGACTATATCCGTACTTCCCTAAGACCCTAGGCTTTATACCTTCACCCCAAATAACCTACCTTTGTCAGGACTCGTACAAGGAAGCCGTATTAAGGAGCCCTAAAAGCGGTAGGATCCTTAGGGTGCAGGTAGGGTATAGGGATTCGGGTTTAAGGCTTAAGGATGAAGGTTTAAGCTGTGTAGGGTTAGGGAATCGGATTCAGGCTTTGCCGAAGGCAAGAAAAGCCTAGAGCTATGCAAGACACCGGACTGCCGGTGGGCCTGCTCTCCATTGAGCATGAATAGGGTTCCTTTAAAGAGGTCCTTATAAGGGTTACTATAAGGGATCTATAAGGTTACTCTTATAATATCGGGGCCTCAATAATTTGAACAGGGGTTCCTTAAAAGGGATGACGCTGGCCGCTTACCCGACATGCAAGATGATGAAGAAGCGACCCAAGAGGGTCCATATATACTACCATACTACCGTTGTGAAGTCAGATAACCACAACCCATAGATTAAACAAATGGTCTCTTGGAGCCTTGATTCGACAGTGGTACTTGTAGTATATGACATGCTATATGGACCCTTTTGGGATTATTTCGGTTTCTGTACATGCCAACAAGCGCCGTAGGCTATAACACCTAGAATCTAAAGGTGCCTGTTGAACGGATATACCCCACACCCTGACTCCTGAATCGGCCTGCGCCCTTCATATAACCCCTAAACCCTGTCCGAAGGCTTTTCCACCCACCCCCAAGGAATCCTTACAGAATCTGGACAAAGATTTATGAGCCCTAAACAGTATAAACCCCAAACCCCCACACCCTAAACCCGAAACCCCGCACAGCGACCCTGAAAGTACCTGCATCATGGTAGAAGTAGGGTTTCTAATAGGAACTACCTATATGGCTGGGGAAAGTATCCCCTATATAAGTACTCAGGACCCTTTGGGTTGTGGCCATAAGTCCTACGTATGTGTATACTCGCTTTAAGGCTATGTCAACAACAAATTTCATAAGCCCGAAAAAACCGAATAAACCTTATCCGTGAACCCCTAATGCCAAAACACCTCACTCAGCTAATATAGGGGCCTTAATAACTGGAAGCGGGTTTGGGGCACATTATATCAGAGCTTCGCTAAGAAAGTCCCCAACATACTCTTCGTAGTTAACTATTTAGGCCGCTATATTACGGGCTCCAAGCGCCTGCCAGCGCGCCAAGGCAGTCGCAAGTTCGCCAAAGTTCCTTCGGGTGGTCGGAGTTCAACACATGTAGATATAGGTAGAGTTATATAGAGAGATGTAGAGATATGGATATTATAGAGATAATGTGTAAGTACGCATATTTAGTGGACATGTCTGCGGGACATTCGTGCGGAATAATCATCCTTATTGCTGTTGCGTGTGCACATCAGAATCTAGCCTGCTCAAGTGTTTTTAGGGTTCTGGTGTGTCTTAGCCGCAACGGTGGGGATCTCGTTATCGTGAGGCTTCAGTTGGCGCAGGGCGCAGAAGCTTCCATTTGCAATTTACGGCACGCCTGAGAGTGGCAGCCATGACACAGCACTTGTTTTTGCTCTCCTTGCACTTGATTGCTCGGCCCACGCTGATGATCCCCTAGATTCTAGATACTTCTGCAAGCATCTGGACAAATCGACTGCCGCTTTGACCATGCACCCGCAGGGACAGGCACAAGAGCCTGAAACTCATGCAACACGGAACGCTTGCCAGGCGGCGCTGAGACTGGAGTACTACCAGTACAGTCCTGCTGGGCATTTGCCTGGACACGGTACCCGACCACACTCCCACCTTGCGCCCTTCAGCCGAATTCCCAATTCGTACGCGGCGGTCGCTACCGAACAGGGTCTCCTGTTCGATACATGCTTTCATCGTAGGCCACGTAAACAACTGCCCCACCCCCTAGTCAGATGAGCCCCACGAATCCCTCAAGCACTCGAAGCCCGATCCTACACGCCCTGAATTCCAAAGCCTGTACTTTAGGGTTTAGGGGCTTAGGGTTTAATTAGGGCTTAGGGTGTAGGGGTTTAGGGTATCAGTCTTCAACCATAGAATCTCAATCCTCCTCGGCCCGAAACCCTTCATGCCCGCACCCTGGATGAGAAACCCTCCACCGAGTCCTGGGTTTCGGATACTTGGAGGTTCATGGGTAGTCTTTCAGGGCCCCCTGTAAAAGGGATCTATGGGGATTCTATTAGGGTTCATGGGTAGCTTTTAGTGGGTTTATAAGTCCATGAATATGGGTTATAACTTTAGGTTACCCTACATATGACTCCACTTATAACTACCCATGAAACTCCAAGTGGGGTTCTGGGTTCAGGGGCTCGGAAACCGGCGTCAAACCTTGTGGCCAAAGCCGTGAACCATCAAGCACCTACAGCAACCCTGAACCTGAATCCTTGTAAGATTCAGTAAAACCTCGGACAACTGAACCCCAACAAAGTCCTCAAGCAATTCGGACATCAACCGATACTCTAAAGCCGTGAATATTTTGAACATCAAACCTTCTAGTAGTACTGCACCAATGCCCTTAACAAGGCACTGGAAACCCTAAACTCCAACAGCCCTCAAACAGTTACAATCACTAGCAGCCCCTTGCGGCAACAAGAACACGGAAAGTCACCAAAGCAGGCCTTGTATGAATCCCTAAGCCCTAAACGGCCCCTCAAACCACTTCACCAAATCCTGGAGCCCTTTGTAGAATTACATAGAACCCTTTAAAATCAGAGAACTCTAAACCCCAAAACTATATCACAACTATCATAGACCTGAACATGTCCCAAACCCTCAACCCTAGCCCCTCAGGCCTAGACCCTGAAACATTAAACCCCAAACCCAACCCTAAAACCCTACGACCCTAAACCCTAAACTCAACCCTAAACCCCCAAACCCTAAACCCTAAAGCCCTAAACGGACCCTTAAAATACCCTCAACACCGACCTCCCCTTCGCCACTGCCAGGTGCCATCCCCTGAGGGAGAGAAGCGTCCCCGCAGCGTCTCCGAGCGAGTCCGGGAGCCTTGGGGGAGGCTTTGTAAGGCTCAGGGTCGAGGGTTCTAGTATTTTAATGTTCAGGCCTTGAGAATCTGGGAGCCTTGGAGGAGGCTTTATAAGGCTTGGGGTTTAGGGTGATAGTATTTTATTGCCTAAGGGTTGAGAATCTGAGAGCCTTGGAAAGGGCTTTATAAGGCTTACATAAGGTTTAGGGTATACGGTATAGGGTTAGGGTTTAGGGTGTAGGGTTTATAGGGTTTAGGGGTTTCAGGGTTTATAAGGGTTTAGGCTTTAAGGGTTGAGGGTTTACTTTAGGCATCAAGGGCTTAAGGGTTTACGAATTTAAGGTATCAGAGAGAGAATGAGAGCCGTGGAAAGGACTTTATAAGGCCTAGGGTTTACGGTTCAAGGGTTTAAGGGTTTAGAGCTTTATCCGGCTTACCCAAAAACCCACCATAACCTATGGTTTCTAGGGCTTCTTATGATTTCTGTACGTCCTTAAAAAACGTTTTTTTTGTTGGGCGCAGCGGTTGACGGTTGAGGGTTGAGAGGTAAGGGGTCTATGATGCCATAACGATGGTTCCCTGAAAGTCCGAAGGTTCGAACATCAAAATGGAGGTGAGCTTTCGGGATCGTCCTACAGGGTGCCAAAAGGGGACCCCAACTTTTGGGGGTTCATTAGTAAGTAGGGTCATAAGTACCTTATGCCAGAAACCCACAACCCTGACCGTCTCCGATGCCCTTTACTGGGGCCTTGTTAGGGAGTTTACTTGAAGTTGCCATCGTGAGGTAGGCCCCTCTTATGGAAACTTACAGTAAGTTCCTTATCAAGAAATTATTTGAAGCAGTTATCCGCCATGCCCTCCTTAACCCCTTAAGCCTCAAACCTACCGGCCTACTTACAGGCTAACCCTGAACAACCCTACATACAGCTTCTGAAAGCACCCAAACTGCACCCAAAGCGGAAACAACCAAACCAAAAGCCCCGGGCTGCCTCTGCAGAATGCATTCATTGAGGCTCGAACACAACCAGATCAGGATGCAAATCCTGACATCCGGGATTCAGTGCCGTCTCAATTCTAGTTCTGGTTTATCAGTCTTATATTTAGGCTGCCACAATCTTACATGAGGCACTGAAAAGAGGAAGGCAGGGTGTATCGGGCCTTAATGCAGGTGATGGGTCGTTAAGAACGTTTGACAGGTCAGTTTAGGTTGTATAGGGAGCTAAGCTAGGTCGTTTACGGGATGTATGCTTTGGACTGTTTGGTATTGGGCTTCCTGGAGAGTTTAGGGTTTAGGGGGTTTAGGGGGTTTAGGGGGTTTAGGGTGCTTGTGTCTTCTTTGGCTCGGGCTGCAAGATGGGTGTTTGCCAAGTCCCAAGTACCCTTGAACAGAGCGGCAAATGGTCATCTCTCCAGCGGCTGTGGGTCCAGGTTGGGTTTAGGATCGTGGCCTTTAGGGCTGTTGGGGTTGGGTCTGTGGGGATAGGTCTGGCATTGGAGTGTATTTGGGGGTGCTTCTCTGTCGCCTTCATGGCATAGGGGCTTTAGAGTGTCGTATAGGGACAACAGGGTTCTGTAGGAGGGCTCTGTACTATTTTGGGGTTGCAGGGTTTAGGGTGCAAGGTCTAGAGTGCTGCAGCAGTCAGCACACTTGGCTCAGGGTCGCAATAGAACCCCGTCACTCTTGCGATTTTTGGGGCTGCAAAAGAACAGAATGATGAACAGCTGCACATGTTACAATTTCACACGCCCGATCCAAAACCTGAACAGTCTATCGGCGTCTGATCCCGACATCCTAGGCACAAAGGTGACTCAAGGACGGCTTCGTCCTCATCCTTCATTATCATGCTGCCAAAGCGTGAAATATTTAAAGAGTTAGGCCGTCCGGGTGGAAGCCTTCAACTTTCATTTTTGTTCTAGACTCAAGAGTAACCTAGGAATAAAAAGGGTGCCCTTTTTGGTTTAATGGGGCTTATAAGGGAACCTGAACCCTAAAAAAGGGAATAAGGGCCTACTCTAGGTCCTAGTGTTCGCAAGCATGGCAAAGCACGGGTCCCACCCTCCGAAAACCGCCATCTTGAAACATCATCACTCACAAACCCTACACCCTGAACCCCAAAAGGACAACCCTGAACCCAAAGAGGCTCTCATTCAGAATGAGACTGACAAAAAAAACCCTGAAACCAAATAGCTAAAGCCTACAACACCCTACACTCCCCTCTTCAAAAGCACGTTAAAGCCCTCCGATCCGATAAACCACAGCTCACGGCCCTACCTGGCTTGAGATCTCAATCTCTGTCTCGAGGGCGCCGCCAGAGCCCTTCGGCTCAACCACCCCTGTAGGCATGGGGCTTGAATTTGATTGGGCTCTTCTTAAGGAACTTAGCTTAAGTTACCATAATGAGGAAACCATTCAACTAGTCACTGTAGAACCCTACTATCGTAACTTTGAACAAACTCCTTAGCATGAATCCAATCTAGGAAGCTTTTGGTGTCTGCTCTTGAAAAAACCCCCCTCTCAGCATCCTCAGCATAATCCTTGTGAAGAAGGGGGTTTAGGGTTTAGGGATTAGGGTTCCGGGTTTAGGGTTTTGGGTTTGGGGTTTAGGGCCGTTTAGGGTCTACATCAATGTGAAGGCTTCAGGGTTTGCGAGTGTAGGCATCGAGGGTCGAGAGTTGAAGGCGAGAAAACGAAGAAGCTCACATCCTACTACCGATGAAACCACAGAACAACCTGTACATGAACGCCAAAACCCAACTGGAAGTACCCAAAAGGCCAAAGCCTCAACCCTAAACCCCTATCCCTTTACCCCAGATCCCCAAACCCGAAAACAGTCAACAGCACCCTGTGCAGGAACCCAGCAGCAGCACAAACCCTAAACCCTAAACCTTACCTTAAGCCGGAAGACCTACCTTTTTAGGGTTCCTTATCATGATTTCCTTATATCAATTCTTACAAAGGTAGGTTATTCCGGCTTAAGGTAAACCTTACACCCACAAAGAGCGCACCTCGCGTGAGCCGAAAAATCCGACCCAAAGCGCTCAGGGCAACAGCGGCCTCTGCAGCACTTTTGGGGTCTCAGATCGGTTCCTAGGAGGGCGCTTAAGGCTTCTTTTGGTTTTAGGGTTTTACGGTCTTAGGGTTTCGGTGGTTTCACGGTTTCATGGGTTCAGGTTTGCAGAAATGTTATACATGGTCAGAATTCGGTTTGGGGGTATATCATCGTCTCTCTTTAGAGCAAGAACCCTGAGGAACAGTGTCACTAGCGCGGCGGGCTTCTACATTGTGCGGTTTAGGGTTTATGCTTCCGGTGCTCGGTTTTAGGGTGGCGTTCTCATATCTCTCGGCCGAAGCCCTGATTCAACCCTAAACCCTAAATCCCTGAACCCTAAAACCCTAAACACGCAAACGCCCCTAAAACCCATAGCCCTAAAACCCTAAACCAACAAAATCCTAAAACCCCAAAGCCCCAAACCCGAACAAAAAACAAAGCCCATGGCCCTAAAAGCCTAAATCCTGTCAGTCCCTCCAACTTCGCTTCTCCCGGCCTGTCCACCCACTTCCGCCGCCGCCTCACAGTCCCCAAGGAAGGCAAAGAAGAGGGAGACGATGAGCCCCAAAGAGCCGACCTCTGAGCTTCAAAGGATTAAAGTTTCCGGTTTAGGGCCTAGGGCTTTAGGGGTTTTAGGGGTTTCGGAGTTTAGGAGTTAGGAGTTTAGGAGTTTAGGGTTTAGGGGTTTAGGGTCCAAGGAAGGTCAAAGAAGAATGAAACTCTGAGTCCCAGGGAGCCCGACCTCTGAACTTCAAAGGAACCCCGAGATCCCAATATCCCTTAGTCATATACCTTAAACCATATCTAGGTGGGGCTTTTAGAGCCTTTGAAAAATATTAGTAAATAAGATCCTCTTAAGCCCAATAAGGGAAAACATAAAATGTCTCAAAGCCCTACCTGGATATGGTTTATGGCCTCTATAATTTCAGGTATATTCCTTAATTTAGGGATTCTGGGATGCACTTAAAGCTTCCGTAAGGGCTAGCATCGGTGTTCTGGGGTTTTGGTTGTAGGGTTACCTTGAAGGGTTCAGAGGACTAATTAAGGGAGGTTAGGGCTCCTTTCCCAAAAAAATCCTATGTACCGATATAGTAGAATGTGGAGTTTCCATATTAGGAATTACTATTATGACTTATAGTAGAAGCCAGAAAGTTGGAACATGGCTTTAGGAGGATTAGTGCTAGGGTCCCTTATACTTTACCTTAAGGGCATGAGGCCAATGATGTTCCAACTTTCTGGCTTCTACTGTAGGGGAGTATCCCGCATAACAGTACATAGGACCCTTTGGCATGTGAGTTTCAGGGAGCCGACCTTGAAAGGCTTGGGGTTTAAGGGTTTAGGGGTTTAGGATTTTAGATTTATAGGGTTTAGGGTTTAGGGTGGGGCTTTAAGGAATGAGGGTCTAGATTTTAGGGGTTTAGGGGTTAGGGGCTTAGGGGTTTAGGGTTTCAGGGGCCAGGGAGGGAGACGATGGGGCTTTAAGGAATTAGGGGTTTTGGATTTAGGATTTAAGGGGTTCAGGGGTTTAGGGGGTTCAGGGGTTTAGGATTTAAGGGTTTAGGGTTTAGGGTCTAGGGTTTTAGGGGTTTCGGAGTTTAGGAATTAGGAGTTCAGGGTTAGGGGCCAAGGAAGCTCAAAGAAGAATGAAACTATGAGTCCCAGGGGGGCGACCTGGGGGCTTCAAAGGAATGAGGGTTTTTAGGATCCATTGAGGGTTTAGGATTTAGGGGAAAAGCTCTATAAGGGCTACCGCAGGTGTTCTGGGGTTTAGTTAGGCTGCTTAGGGTTCACAAGCTCTTGGGTTTCGTAAGGGCCTGTTGTCTACTTGGAGGATCATGGGACTTAGTAAGTAGGGCTATAAGTTTCTTAATTGGGGTTATAAGTATAGTTACCCTAATTATAACCCTAGTTACTAAGTCCCATGATGCTTTAAGTAGGGGTACCCTGAATCCCGAGAGCCATCGTACAACCCAAAATCCGAGCTTCCTTCTGAGCCTCCGGCGCCCACATGCCTGGCTTCGTCGCACAGCAAGACGTGAAGCGCACAAGCCGAGGCGGCGAAGCTCAGGCAAAGCCTCGGCAGTGCTTGATAACGGTTTCGTGGGTTTGGTAGCGAGTTTGTAGTGGCTTGATAGGGCTTTGTGGCGTGTTGTCGTAGTGTTGCATATTGCTTCGAAGTGAGTTTAGTGAGGGCTTGCCAGGGTTTCATAAGAGTCTCATGGAGGTTAACGTTCAGAAATGTTCTGCAGTGGCTTTGAGGGTTTTGATTGGTCTCTCTCATGGTTCTGTGGGGCTGTATTGTGAAACTGTTAAGTTTAAAGTTTTAAACGGTTGTGCATGACTTCACCTTAGGCTTTGTAAGGGTAGACAAGGGCACAAATAGTATGACTGTACATATCACATCATACCTTTGATGCCGACACTGGCCTCCTCATCGACCTTTCCACTGGCATTTTCCTTCTGATGTAGCTCTTCTTTGAGCTTGAATTCTGGAATCTGCTAGTCGCCTGGACATGAAAAAAGGTCTTCGTCTGCTGATTCGTGGCCTCAGATCCCTCCCGGACAGTCTTCCGAACCCCATACTCGCACTCGCGATCTTGACGCTGCTTGTCATTGCTGGCCCTCTCTTTCTCGACCCCAACAGGGTGATCACTGGGCACTCTACGAAAGCTTTAAGGGAGAAATTCGAATTCCAAGAACAAGCCATATGGGAGTTTCCGAAAATAGGGCACCCTAAAACAGAACCCTGAATAGTAGGATCCGAACTATAGGGACCCAAAACAAGGTGCCCCCAATAATCGGAAACTCCCATATCTCTAACCTGTGGGACAAGTGGACCTCCGCCTGCCAGGGATCGTTTGGTAAACCCTGGACTGCTGTGATGGCATATAGAAACCAGGGCTTGGGCAATATGACTCCGTAGTATACTTGGGTATCGGAGTACTTCCCATTTGGGTTTAGACGGGTTTACAGTAGGGTTTAGGCTGAAATATTTGATTTGGCTTCCGACGACTTCCTGTTTCCCGCTTTCGGGTGCTGTCCAATCACCTTAAGGCTCAAGGTAGCGCAAAACCTTGTATAGAAGTGTGTTGCGGCCCAAGAACAAGGTCACCCCAAAGGTCTAAATAGCTAATCAGTATATACACTCAACCACAAGCTACCCCCCCCCCCCAAGCTAATCACTTGAATGCATGCAAGTACCTGAACCCTGAACCCTAAACCCTATTGCGTGAGACCTCAACAACCGCCCTCCGAAAACCTTATGGAACAGGCTTAGGTTTAGGGCTGCTAGTGGTTTCAGGGTTGGCACGGAAAAGACTCTCTCCTTAGCTACAAGCATGAGCCAGAAAGCAGCTAAAGCCACGCCAAGCCTAAGCCCACATTGTTGGTCCTGAGCCCCATAAGTACCAAATGATTTCATCTAGGACCAAAGCACTGCGACCTTAATGACTGCAATAGGGTCCCTGGGCATAGTATAGGAGAAGTATAAGAGGGAGTATAAGCGGGTTACTATAACTCCTCCAAAGCCTACAATACCTAAACCCCAAGTGTCCTCTCCTGCACCTAATGACCTACGTCCACTACAGACCAGGTGGGCTCTGTTAAGGGGTATTTCAGGGCCCTCGTAAACGATCTTAGCATCTGCATTCCAGCCTCGTCCCTAACTCTAAACCCTCTGCCCGGTTTTGGGTTGAGGGCTTAGGGGTTTAGGGGCCCTGCACCCCGCTAAAGCCTAGTCCCTACTTGGAGGATCATCGGACTTAGTAAGTAAGCTTATAAGTACCTTAACGGGGGTTATAAGTATAGTTACCCTGGTTATAACCCTAGTTACTAAGTCCCATGATCCTTCATGTAAAGCATCGCTTCATTTTGCTCTGGGCCCCTGGACGCCACGCGGAAGCAAACCCACGCTCTGCTCGCAGCTGGAAACCTTGCATTCATTTTTTTTAAATGACAGTGTGGTGGCGCTAGGGGTTCAATAGGCTTCTACCCAAAATATTTAAACAGTTATGAACATATCACTTAAACTGTAAAGAGATCCTGAATACAGTGTAAAGTAAGTTTTTGATTGCAGGGAATCTCTGGGTGGGGCTCTGGTCAGGATTTGGGGCATTGGCTTGTGTGTTCAGGGGTTGCTCCTTTTGTGATACCTAGGGCCTGAGTATTTAGACTTGGGTCATCAGCGTTTCGAGAACAACAACATACGGAAAGCCGGGGCTGAAGACTTGGATTTTGGGATATGTAAAGAAATCTAATGAGGTACAATGTTGGTAGTTATTCCGAACCCTATGTTGTGTAACAAACTACCACTTGACACTGTAACGCAACAGAGTTATTCTATTGAACATACATCTTGATGTCTAATAGTTTGTTGGACATGAGACGCGCACGTTTACGGCATCATTGATGTTATTTTCGTCTTAGTCATGACAGCAGACCGACGGACATAAACATATATACATATCCATATATATATATATATATGTGTGTAAATATGTGTGTATATTTTCTTTATACACACACACATATATTAACTATACGTGTTCCAGCTGCTGCTTCTACATGTCACAGATACTACAACAGCATACCGTAACTAAGCGTGCAGGGCGATGATAGTGAACTGAAGATAAACCTTATCGATCTTGGCAGCAGGAAATGCATAAGTAGCACAGTTAAGTGATCTTGTTTGAATGGCGGCAGCACAACGACAGAAATGTTCCCATGCATGCGTTTCAGTTGTTCTTGCCTTGCCTTTCGACTCTAGCACACCCATGTCCGGCAGAGTTAAGCTCGTAACGTTGTTTGCAAGGCTCTTTCCCGTGGGTGCGTGTTTGTACGGCTGGAGGACCAGCGGGCAACCCCAAACTGAGGTGAGGGACACGGTCATGTTGCCTGCAGAGCCGCAGCAGTCCGAGTTTGGTGTTGTAGGGCGTTGAGGCTATCAGCGGACGTGCCGAAGTTTTGATTGTAGGGCCGAGGATTCACGTAGACTTTTAACTGAACATGCTTTAGGGTTTCGGGTTACCGATAAGCTGTACATTGCAGATTCACGAGTGTCTGCTTAGGTTCTGGGGTTCCGGTAGAGACGGATGACTTGCCAAAGGAAGCCCCAAACCCATTTTTGATCGGCTGCTTTTCCAAGGGGCACATTGACGAAGGCAGCGCTGGCCTTCGAGATGCAGTGGTGTAGCTCCCCAGTTCCGAAACCCTAAACCTAAGGCGCCTCAAGATCAACATCGCTCAAGAGCCCGATATCGCTGGGCGTGTACGGCACCAGAAGCCTTCACGCATGGCAAGACCATGAACATCCTCAGTCCTAGGACCCGAGAACCACCTTGCGAAGCCTGCGGGCTCATCGCGAAACGCTAGACTGTTATGAACCCCATGTAAGATCTAACCTCCGGAATCAACTTCAAACTCACATAGCATCCTACTTCCTGCGAAACGAACTCAGACAGACACACACACACACACACACACACCCACACGCACACGCACACGCACGAAATCACAGTCAGACAGACACGAATACAATACGACAAACGGACAACATGCAATCAAACTTTCAAACTCAACCAAAATGTTAACCCGGATTGGAGAACTGTATCCTTCTGAGCCTATGAGCAACGGATTCGAAGGCAGTGCCTCCTACCTGCTTCAATTCAACCAATTTGAAGCCACATTCTGCGAGGGCTATAAGCTCTGCAACTACTGGTAGAGTGTCTTCCGTTGTCTGAGTACAAGGAGGAGGAGGCTCTAGCAAGGCCCCTGTGTTTTCCGTTTCGGGATTAGGATTTAGGGCTAGGGTTTACCTATAGTCTCCATTGTAGTTCCTTTTTTGGTTAACCAGAATCTCTATTATAGGATCCTAGCCATAAAACTGGTTAACCAAAAAAAGGAACTACAATGGAGACTCTAGGTAGGGTTTGGGGCCACGGTTTAGGAACCCCGCCTTCGCAGCCGCACTCACGCGCGCAGCCACCCGGGCGCCGAGGAGGTTGGCACGGACGGAGACGGGGTCCTCAGAGGCCCCAAAGTAGTTCCTTTTTGGGATTACCTTATAGGATTCTATATATTACCTAGAAAGGAACTGCTTTGGGGTCTTTGGGTAGGGTATGTAGGGTTTACTTAAAGAATCATGACTTTTACTTCAGGGCTCGAGCTTAGACAATACTTGCTTTTGGCTTGGGGTGGTTCTTGGGGTCACACCCCAATCACCCTAAACCCAGTGTGATACGGCTGGAGCTTCTGATGCTGTGCGGCCGAAGGTTTAACTAGAAAACAGGATCACTGGCCGGTGGGTAGATAAGAGAAGGTGGCACGCACTAAGGGTTTACGGTTTATGGTTTAGGTTTTTGGCGACAGGAATACTAGAGTTACCGTATTCAGATTTATAGCTGAACTTTGAACTACCTGCGCGCCATCAAATAGCAAAAGCTGAGGGCTCTGTGTAGGCGTGCTTCCTTGGCTTCGGGTTTTGATCTAAGTGGTTTGAGTTTTGAACTCAGGGTTGAGAGGCTTTGCTTACTGGGACCGTTTTACTGGATCTATACCCCACTGTAGTTTAGGGTTTAGGGTTTAGGGTTTAGGGTTTAGGGTTTAGGGTTTAGGGTTTAGGGTTTAGGGTTGTAAACCCACACGTTGATCGAAGCACAGACACATTGCATCAAGCAGCTGTCTTATCTTGCCGTTTTGCCGGGGCCTTCACCGTTGTTCCACATCTGCTGAGGCTCCCCAGAGAAACCTACCCCTTCAATAAGATGCGTACCTTAAATCATAGGGGCCTTAATATTACGGTTTAAGGATATTTAAGGTATATTCTTTATTTGAAGGGTATTGGGTTCTCTGGGTCACTCAGCCTCGAAAGTGGCCAAGAACTCCAGGGCCCAGACTCGAAAATGCTCTGTTGGCCTCTGCTCAAAGGAAGCCACGGCAGTCCCTAAACCCTAAACCCTACTTGGAGGATCATGGCACTTAGAAAGTAAGGCTATAAGTACCTTAATTAATGGGGGTTGTAAGTATAGTTACCCTACTTATAACCCTAGTTACTAAATCCCATGATCCTTTAAGTAAACCGTTCCCAAAGACCCCAAAGCAGTTCCTTTCTGGGTAATATGTAGAATCCTATAAGGTAATCCTAAAAAGAAACTACTTTGGGGCCTCTGGGTAAACCGTTCATGTCCCGGATGTTTGATTATGAGTGCACGCACGGCTCCACTGTTCGGCGCATCGGGCTGACGAACTGACAGCCCTGCGGATTGAAGTGGGTAGTTGTCAAAATTAGGGTCCCTTGTTGGGTAACCTCAAAAATTAGGTGCCGTATTATCATAGGGACCCAAAAAGGCACCATAATTTTGACAACCACCCAAGTGCAACTCAGCAAGACCAGGTGCGAGTTCTGGAACGTTGAGCCGGGCTGGTGCAAAGTCTCAGACACCCACTGACAGTCTTCAGACTTCAGCCCTTGGCACAGCAAATGGGAAAGGGCGCACTCGCGGTGGCTTGCCTTGTCGGTTCAACGTGGGAGACAATCTGCCAATGTTGCGTGCAACATAAATAGCTGTCTGCTAACTTTTTTCGACTCTGATACGAATCGTCCGGCGAATACAACGACAAAAAACACCATCCGCGAGCAAACTATGCCCCAAGTAGCCTGAAGGTATGGGGTCTGAACCCCAGCCGATCTCGCTTGGCATGTTTTAGCCGAGCGATAGCAGTCGGGATTCATCATCGCAATCACAACCCCTTCTGAACGGTAGACTTCTTAGGTCGTATGCTAAGAACCCTTCCAGAAGCCAGCAAGACAGGGTATGGCTCTGGCCAATTCAAAGTTTAGCGGCTTAAGCTGAGGGTTTTTCGGGAGTCGGGGGCTTAGGGCTTTGGGGATGTTTGGGTTAAGGGTTTACGCGTGTAGTTTGGGGCTTGGGCTGTTGGGTCATGCATGCTGAGGTTTATGTGGCAGGTTATTAAGGACGAGTATCCCCACAATACATACTTGGAACAACGTCATTGACATAGAACTCTACACCAGGCTCGCGCAACCATGCCCGATGCCGTTACGAACATCCCTTTGTGTAAGACTTTTCAGGGTTGGAAAGACCCCGAGAACCCAATACCCCTCAAATAAGGAATATACCTTAAATCATAATATTAAGGCCTCTATGACCTAAGGTACATTACTTATTTAAGGGGTACTGGGTTCTCTGGGGATGCCTTCGAAGGAGTTCCAAACTTACAACAATCCACTTGCTAACCGAGGCACGACCAGAGTCTCGTCCATGATGTCCTCGAAAACGGGTGTTGGAGCTTACGGTGAAAGATCTAGGGTGCAAGATAGGTACCTTGATCATTAGAATTCGGTTGTTGGGTATGCTACGACTGAAACTCTGTAGGGATTGGAAGGGGATATCCTTACTGTCAATCAGACACCTGTACTAGCGTTTTGTGCTTTATTGTTATTTGCATATGGGAGTTTCCGAAGATAGGGGACCCTAAGAAAGTACCTTAGATAGTAGGATCCTCATTATAAGGACCCCATAATAAAGTACCCCTAATTATCGGAAATTCCCATATACAGCTTTAGGGCCCAGGCCGGAGATTCAGGGCTGATACAGTCTACGTGTTATTGCAAGCACGCCTCAGGGAATCTGATATAGAAGCCTCAACCGCCTCAAAACCCAAAACCCTAACCGACCCCCGGTAAAAGGCCCTTTTTTGCTTAGCAGCTTGTGTCACCACAAGCACAACCCTACAACAACAACCCTACAACCCTACACCGAAAAACCGGACACAACACCCTAAACCATAAAACTTCAACTCTACATCCTAACCCCGGTAACCTCTAAACCCTACACCCTGAACCCTACACTACACCCTAAGCCCGTTAACCTAAACCCTAAACCCTACACTACACCCTAAACCCTACACCCTACAGCCAAAACCCCACAACCTACCACACTACACCGCTAACCCCAAGGCCCCAAGCCCTTACGTCCCCAACAAAAATCGAACCCGAAGCCCCAAGCCGTTACATCCCAACTAGACCTAAGAGTAGCTTTGGAAACGGTTTAGGGTTTAGGGTTTAGGGTTTAGGGCCTTTTTGGGTTAAAGGGGGCTTCTAAGGGAACCTAAACCCTAAAAAAGGGGAATAAGGGCCTACTCTGGGTCCTAGCCAAAAGATTCGAAGGCCCCTCCTGGGCTTCAGCCAGGAAGAGGCGCCCCGACCGGGCTGCCTGGCCGGAGGCCCAGAGGTGGACCCAACCTGAGGTGCAGAGGTTTTAGGGGTTGGGGGTTTAGGGGTTTATATAGGGTTTAGGGGTTGGGGGTTTAGGGGTTTGGAGGTGTAGGGGTTTAAGAGTTTAGGATTCAAGGGTTTAGGGTTTGGGGGTCTGGGGGTTTAGGCATGTGGAGGTTTAGGGGTCGAGGATGGTTTAGGCTTTCATTCTGCTCCGGGCTTTAACTTATGAAGTTTGAAGCACGCTATGTTTGCAGTGTGTAGGTGTGCGCTCTTGCTTGTGTTACATAGGCATCTGTTAAGGGCCTGTTAGTCTTGAACCATGCGTCCCAGCAGCCTGCGTTGAGTGCTCAAGGACTTTTGCCGATATGGGAGTTTCCGAAGTTGGGGGACCCTAACATAGTACCCTAAGTAGTAGGATCCTTATTATAAGGACCCCAAAATAAGGCACCCCCAATTTTCGGAAACCCCCCATATGTGTTCTCATATGGAAAAGTGAAAGGGCCCTCTTCCGAGGCTCAAGCTTCCTCCGGTGTTGTAGACCGCTGTTCTTGACGGTATTGCTGTTTTGGTGAATCATAGCCCTAAACCCTAAACCGTACTTGGAGGATCATGGGACTTAGTAAGTAAGGTTATGAGTACCTTAATTGGGTTCTACGGTATACACGTATAGTTACCCTAATTAAACCCTAGCTACTGAGTCCCATGATCCTTCAAGTAACCCTAAAACCCCTCTTCTTGAACCCTTATAGATCCCTTTTTAGGAGCCCTGTAAGGAACCCTACAGTTACTACGTCCGATGATCCTTTAAGTATCCCTAAAACCCCTCTTCTAGAACCGTTATAGATCCCTTTTAAGGAGCCCTTTAAGGAACCCTTTACGGCCCTAGTTACTAAGTCCCATGATCGTTTAGGTACCCCTGAAACTTCTCCACCGCGCTGAACCTTAAACCCCACAGATCACCAAAGCGGAAGCTTGAAGCTTCAGAAAAAACCTGGGAGTTTGGGAACATTAGGGGTACCGGGGTACCTTATTCTGGGGTCCTCATACTAAGAATCCTACTATGTAGTGTACTAACTACATTAGGTCCCCCCATCTTCGGAAACGCCCACGTGACATGATGCCGGGCAACAGAAGTAGCAGATGCAGGCATAAAGTGGCCTCAGTCGCAGCTCCGCTCATAGGGCATCTTACAGAAAACACGACAACAAGACATAAGAGCACATTCAACCTATAAGCTCTGAACCCCAAAGCCCTAAACCCTACACCTCCACATAGCCTGAACCCCCATGTACCCTAAGCCCTAACCCCCCACAACTACCTGCAGACAAGTGCAAGGTGTTCGGAGGAGCTCGGGGTAAAGGACCCGGCAGAACAAGGTTTAGTTTTCGAGGAGGGCCTTAGGGTTTGGGTTTAGGGTTTGTAGGGTTTATAGGGTTTATAGGGCTTAGAGGGTTTTTAGGGCTTAGGGTTTAGGGGTTTGAGGTTAGGGTATAGGGTTTTTGGGTTTATAGGGTTTAGGATTTAGGGTCTAGGAGAGGGAACTAACGACCGACCCACTATACAAGGAAATGCCTACATAGTAGGTGGCTGTCTTTGAAAGCCGCTAAGACCAGACTGTACTGGGGGCCCTCAACCATAAACCTTGTAGCTGCTGAAGCTAGCAAGGGCCTGCCCTACCCCCGAAACTCGGGCGAATTACCCCTAGAAGCACCGTCAACTACTTTTGTGAGATGCCCACCCTGAAACCGCTACATGGTAGCTAATAACTGGCCCTCTAGGGTACCAGTAGAGCCCGACACACGCCAAAAACGACGCAGAAACCGTGCACTGCATTGCGTTTGGGGTCAACTTTGTGACTCCTCAGAGCCCTAGGTTGCACACTAAACCTGAAACCCTTCTTAACCCTGTTGTTCGAAAGGCCCTAAATTCAACAAAAATTCAGAAGGGTACCTTCACAATTAGAATAGGTTTGGGGCACATTATACTGTACTTAAAATAAGGAACCCCCAAGACATCCTTAAACCCTATAGCCCAAAACCCCTAAACTCCTAAGGCCTTTCCTATACTAAATCCACATAATAGCCCTTATATAGTAACCCTTATAGACCCCTTTTAAAGGAACCCTAAACCCTGTAATCCTAAATCCTGCAGCCCAAAGCCCAAAACAAAAACATGTCGGCTCCAGGGTGCAGGAGGACCACGCAGGCCAACCACTGCGGTGCAATGCTGAGGATGTAAGCCTCAGCATGAGGTTTAGGACTGAGGTGTTTAGGATTAGTAGGGTTTAGGGTTGCTAGGGTTTAGGGGATACGGGGCTCAGGGTTTAGGGCCGTTTAGGGCATAGGGCAGTTTAGGATAGGGGTTTTCTACGAAGCCGTCCCCCATGTTCCATCGCTAGCCGCGTTTCATCCCCATTTTGCTCATTTCGCTGTTCTGCAGTCTTTGGCTCTGCTTCAAGATGACGATACAAGCAGCTGACACGTAGTAGTGCATTCCAGACTTCGGTGGCGCTCCAGGCTCGCGGGCAAATCTTTTTTTCAGGGTTCCAAGTGCTTTGCATGCGAAGGGACACTTCGGGGTTGAAGCAGAAGCTTTGGAAACAAAGACTATGGATGCACGGCCTAGCGGCTTAGCTTAAGGGCTCTACCTGCTTGCTTCTACTGCTCAACCCGTGGTCTGTGACAAGGCCTCTCGATCTCCTGATGAGCGGGCCTTCGCTCTGGAAGCATGTCATGTTCCTCTGGCTCAGGCATATGCTGAACGGGGAAAGTCCTTCGGACTCGATCTTGCACCTCAGGAGAGAAGCTGTTATACCGTTGATGACTCCCTGCTGCGGCCGCAGGCTTCGCCGAGTCAAAAGACCTGGTCACACCCCAAGGGTAGGCACGGCCTCCCGGAGGAATGAAGCCGTAACACCTCAACCCTAAGCACGGGAAGCCTTGCCTGCGCAGCGATCTCCTGTCATGATTTTGACCCGAAGGTTTGCTTTGGCGCCTTCCAGTGTGTTGATAAAACCGCGACCCGTCAGAAAGTTGAGGGTTTAGGGGTTTAGGGGTTTGGGGTTTAGGGTATAGAGGTTTAGGGGTCTAGGGGTTGAGGGTTTAGGGGTTTAGCGGTTTAGGGTAGAGGGATCCTCAGCATGATGCATCAGTGACCTAATGCCCTGGCCCAAACCTTTAATCGTTTAACTCAGCCTTATGCCTCAAATCCATACACCCCCCCACCTATGACTAGGACTTTTAACCTATAGACACATCTTCAAAACCCTAAACCCTGAGCCTTTACCCCCTAGGCATTTCATCCTTGAACCTTCAACCTTGCAACCACAAATCTTCCACCCTCCGCAGCCCCCCTTAGGGCTTTGTACAGAAAGTCCAAATCCTCTCTGTTTTGAAGTGCTTCATCATAGTGGGCTATTGTGGGAAGCTACCTCAACGATTGCAGTAGGCTAGATGCAAGCTCCGCACCCAAGAAACACGACAAATCCCCTGAGGCCGTAAGCCCCAAATTCTAAATCCTAAACCCAAGAACTAGGCCCTAAACTGCCCAACCCCAAAGCTTACCGTTGGTTAAGGAATGGAGGAATGGTGGTATAATAGTAGATATAATTGTGCTCCATTCCTCCATTCCCTACTAACCAAAGGTGATCAAGCCTAAGCCCCAAACTCCTCTAAACCCTAAACCCCAAACTCCTCAACCCTAAACCCTAAACCCCAAACCCCTCAACCCTAAACCCTAAACCCTAAACCCTTAAGCCCCAAACTCCTCTAAACCCTAAACCCCAAACTCCTCAACCCTAAACCCTAAACCCTAAACCCCAAACCCCTCAACCCTAAACCCTAAACCCTAAACCCCTAAGCCCCAAACTCCTCAACCCTCGACCCCACCAGAACTCTGAACTCCAAAGCCCTCGAAGACCCGCCCCCCGCAGCTCCAAAACCTCAAAGAGGCTCACTGACCCAAAGGGGTCCTTAATGGGACTCTATAGGGGTTCCTTAATGGGACTCTATAGGGTTTAGGGTTTAGGGTCTACTTAAAGGATCATGGGACTTAGTAACTAGGGTTATAATTAAGGCAACTAGACGTATCACTACTTCCAAATCCAACTAGGGTACCTGTGACCTGACTTACTAAGTTACTAAGTCCCTTGATCCTTTAATTTAAGTAGACTCTCGACCCTGGAAACCCTGGGCCCTAAACTCTAAACTAGCTCTAAAGCCCTAGCTAACCCTGGAGCCCTAAGCCCTAAACCCTCAAGCCACCTCAAGCCCTAAATGCTACACCCTCCAGCTGCAAACCCCAAACTCTAAAATCCTAAGCCAGAAGCCCTAAGCCCTAAACCCTCAAACCCTGAAACCCGAAACCCTAAGACCCTAAACCCTAAACCCAAACCCTAAGCTCGAAACCTCAACAGACCGCCCAGGCCACCTGCTGGAGCAAAGTCCCCACGGAGCTCCGGAGACCCGAGAGGAAGCTGCTGAGCACCACCTTACTTGAAAGGATCATGGGACTTAGTAACTAGGGTTCCTTAAAGGGTTCCTTAAAAGGGATCTATAAGGAACTAGGGTTCCTTAAAGGGTTCCTTGAAAGGGATCTGTAACGGTTCTTTTTGAGGGGGGTTTTAGGGTTACTTAAAGGATCATGGGACTTAAAGAACCCTGAGAGGAGCCCCTGAAAGTAACCCTATTTGGGTACAGGGACCCTTATATGGACTCTGACCGACAGATGTCCGTTAAGAATAACAGTAACAAGAAGAGCAACCATCTAAATAATAGGTTTAATAGGAAATGGTAATGTCAGTCAGAAAAACAACATATATGATACGGTTGATAAGAAGAAGAATGGAGGGCCCTAATGCTTAGGCCTTACCTGTACCGTGACAAACTACCTCTTTATAGACTTATACAGGGAAATCATAATCAGGAACTAGGAGCCCAAATATGGAGGTTCCCAGAGACTCCAATATCCCTTAATTAAGGAATATACCTGAAATTATAGCAGGATCCCTAATATGATTTAAGGTATATTCCTTAATTAAGGGATATTGGAGTCTCTGGGTGAGTTCTATGATGGTTCTGAAAAAGCTTGAGGCGCCTTACCAGCCAGTCGTTCTCTGAGGGTCCGAAGACCCAAACAGTAGGGCAATGCAGAATCTAGCTGAAGAACCCGCTCATGGTTGAAGGGTTTAGGGGTTTAGGGTTTAGGGGTTAGGGTTTAGGGGTTTAGGGGTTTAGGGTTTAGAGGCACTACAACGACTTTAGAGAACCCTTTTCAAATCCAACTGGACAACTGGAGCCCTAAAGCCCTTCAGTCCCGATGGTGGAGCTGAGTGGCGCTGTCCACGTGGGCGAGATCACCCGCGAAGGCCTGCGCAGGGGGATGAGAAGGACTTATTGCCGTAAATCGTAACCTACGTCACCCAGTAGCTCCGTAACAACGAGGGCCCCTTTGTTTCTACTAATTACTCGGTTTGATAACTAGAGCCCCAAAACAGAAAGGGAAAACACACATTACTGGAAGACCTAGCAACATGGATATAGCTTCGGGGCTCTGGGTACTTGATCTTCTGGCCGCTGGAGCCCCCAGAGTCTGGAAGCGCAAACCTTCAATTTTCAACCGGAGCCCGGTAGACCCCAAGGATTTACAGTAGAAGCCAGAAAGTTGGAATATCATTATCGTAACCCCTTAAGGTAAATTTTAGGGGATCCTACCATTAATCCATATTCCAACTTTCTGGAGTTCCGGATAAGGTTTAAGGGATAAGGCTAATGGTTTAGGGTTTGAACGCGGGAGAATGGGACACCACCGATTGTGTGGGTAAGATGGTTTGCAAGGCATGCTTTATAACAGAAAACTTGAATGGAAGGTGCAATCTGGGGGCCTGAGTCATTAGAGTAGGGCTTTCGGGTCTATGGCAGCAGAGTCATACGTATACTATTGTGAAGGAAAAGGTATTGAATAATATCGGAAATGCTGCTAAAGAGCTCATCTGAATGTCGGAAGCTCGAATCAAGTAGCACCATTTCCTGGCTCGCTTGTCAGGCCCAGCAAGAAAGAGTCTATCCTAAACCCTAAGCCCTAAACCCTGAACATAGACCCTGGACTCTAAACCCTACAGCAAACCCTAAGCTCTAACCCTAAGCCCTACACAGTAAGCCCTAAACCGTGGCCTCACGCCAGGTGCGGCTGGATGTAAAAGGTGACTGGCGGAAGGCGACGAGAAGCCTCCGACGACGAAGCTGAATGTAGGGCTTGGGGTTTAGGGTTTAGAAGGGGCTTAGGGTTCCTTTTTAGAGAGGGTTATATGGGTTCCTTCTTTAAAGGGCTCTAGAAGGGTACTGTAGGCTTTAGGGTTTTAGGGGTTAGGGTTTAGGGGTTCAGGGGGTTAGGGTTTTGGGTTGAGGCTTAATAGTGAGATGAGCCGAAGGGCAGGAATACTACTGGTCGACTTCTGTATTCCCTAGCTCACGAACCCTGTGTAGTAACGGTTGCCAGGCTTTGGGGTGCAAGAAGGTTCATTTAGGGTTTAGGGTTGAAGATTTTGGGGTTTAGGGTTTAGGTTGAAGGACTAAGGGCTGCTGTTTGAGTAACGGGGCCTTGGGTGGGTTACGTCGTACAAGGGTCTTATCGGACAGCCTACGGGTCTCATGGGGTGCCACAGCGGCTTTTGCAGAGCCTGATGTCTTCGTGAAGTCTCCCAGGATTGAATACCTTAAACCCTACATCCAAACCTACTTCTTTGCAGGTTCTTATGATGCACCCCAGTATAGATTTCATAGGGGCTCTACCACAAAGGTAGGGTTTGGGTGGGTTAGAGGCAAACCCTGACCCTATATCCGAAACCCTAAATTGTAGCTTTGGGAGGGCTCTTGGCACTTTGAATACCCCAACCGTTTAGGGTTTAGGGTTTAGGGGTTTAGGGGTTTAAGGCTCTACATCCGAAACCAAAAGTGCAAGTGGGGATTCTTTAGAGCGGTTGGCCCCTTGACCTGGGGCTTCTGCGTCTTCTACTTGAAGGATCATGGGACTTAGCAACTAGGGATATAATTGGGGTAACTGTACTTATAACTACTTATAACCCCAGTTATGGTACTTATAACCGTACTTACTAAGTCCCATGACCCTCCCAAGTAGACCCTATAAACCCTAACTCTATAGATCCCTTTAAGGAGCCCTTTAAGGAACCTTACTAAGTCCCATGATGCTCCAAGTAGGGCTTAGGTTTGAGGCTCAGAGTTGACCAGCTCGGGGCTCTGAGCTTTCCACAGGCGACGGATGTACGGGCCTTAAAGTGGTAAAGTCTAAAAGCTGCCCCAACACTTGGAGGATCATGGGACTTAGTAAGTAAGGTTATAAGCACCATAACTGGGGTTATAAGTAGTTATAGGTATAGTTACCCCAATTATAACCCTAGTTACTAAGTCCCCTGATCCCTTAAGCATCCTAGTGCAATCATTACGTGCCGTAAGGCTTCAGACTAGGGTGCTGAGGTAGTTTTTAGAACACTATAAGGAACCTTAATGACTTATATGCATCAGTATTTCTCCGACCTCCAAGAATGAGACTTGAGGTGTGTTTAGGGTTTGGGGAAATTGAGGCTTCTAATACCCTAGACTGAAAGTGTAAGGTGCCTATGACCCCAAAGACCCGCCAGAGAAGCGCCTTTTGCCGTAAGCCTAAAAGCTAGACCTAAGAATAACCTAGGAATAAAAAGGGTGCCCTTTTTGGATTAAAGGGGGTTATAAGGGAGCCTAAGCCCTTAAAAAGGGAAGAAGGGCCTACTCTGGGTCCTAGAAAGACTGTAAGTTCGAATCTAGGTTTTGATGTGTTTAGGGATGTTAAACCAACCATGGATAGCCGATGGCAGGGCCTCTGGTGAAGTCTTACCGAGGCTTCTCGCGCAACGCGGCTGCACACCCATTCCTCAAAGGTTCCGGGTGTCGGTTTAGTTTGGCGTTTTGGATTCGGGGTCTAGGGGTAGAGCTTCTTGCGGCTTCCTTTTTCTGGTAACATTCTTGGATTGGCATTTCTGGATACGAGCTTTAGGGTCTTGCGCCTTATAGCTTTTCGGGGTTTGGGGTTCAGCTTCTGTGCTTTTGGCTTTTGACGCATTACGGCACAAAGGTTCGGAACCCTAAACTCGAAGCAGTAGGTTACCCCAAGGGTCCATGCACATGCATAGTATATGCTTTGGCCTTAAAGTAGCTCCTATATGGCTACTTTGGGCCCGAAGTATAGTATATTGTTCGGGTACATGGACTCTTATAGCCTAAACCCTTATAAAACCCTTATAGGAGGCCTTAAAGGACCCTTTGGGGTTATTATGGGGTTACGGTATGAAACATCAGCTCTTTTGGGTTTCATTTAAGGCTCCAGGAGCGAAGGCTGCAGCCAGGATTGAGGGTGTAGGGTTCAAGTTGTCTAGGAGTGTAGGGGTTTAGGGTTTAAGGATGATGAAGGAGTCGAGGGGTTTAGAGTTTAGGGATGATTGTGCAGCTTAGGGGTTCAGGGCTTCAGGTGTAGTAGGGTTTATGGTTTCAGGTGTATAGGGAGGTTACAGCCCGAACCGAGGACTATCCACGCAAGCCGTTGGAAGCCGCAAATGGAATCCTAAATGCTAGACTGGGGTTTTGACGGCTTCTGTACTATAGACATATGAGTGAACCCTAAGGCCCTAAGGAATAGTTCCACTGATGATATCGGCCCGGAAGCGCTCTTTAGAAAAACTACCGTCGCGCTGAAAACGGTTTAGGATTTAGGGTTCAGGGTTTAGGGTGTTTAGGGTTTAGGGACCAGCGCCAAGGTACGCTGACCACCAGAAGCACGGCATTGGAGGCCAAAGCGACCAGCACAGCAATTGCGAAGCCCTTGTGGTCGCCTTGTGCAGGGACCGAGCCCACCCTAAACCCTAACCCCTAAAACCCTAAACCCCTAAACCCTAAACCCTAAACCCTTAATTTCGGAATTTACCTTAGGCTCGCCTCAACCCCTCGACCCGGAACCCCCTACTTAAAGGATCATGGGACTTAGTAGCGAGGGTTATAGGGAGGGTAACTATACTTATAACTTATAACTACTTATAACCCCCATGAAGGTACTTATAACCATACTTGCTAAGTCCCATGAACCTCCAAGTAAACACAAACCCCAAGAGGAAAAAAGACGCGAGCCCTGAAGCCTTGAAGCCAGAAAATCTAAGGCCTCACGGTTTAGGGTCTAGGGCTTAACCACCAAGCACCATGGACTGTGACATCTTCAACCCTAACAGCGAACAAACACTGCACCCTATAAACCCTAAACCGAATCGGTGGTCAGGTGCATGACCGACCCTAATGTCGGCCTCAGGCAGTTGGAGCAGCAAAGGTTTATCAAGATCTGGACAAAGGCTCACAATTCTACCTAAGCCCTGTAGGCCCTAACGCCCCAAAAGCCTAAATCCCTAAACCCTACAAGTCAAGAGCCCTAAACCCAAATCACGAACGCCTAACACCCCTAACCCTAAACCCAGCTCAGCCAGAACCCATGAAATAGTTTAAAGACCTTCTTCGAAAAGTTCAAGCTTTAGGGATTCCTCCTTCAACCAACGTAGGTTTTGGCAGTTGAAGGGTTTAGGGTTCAGGGCTTAGGGCTTATGGCAACGATCCTTACATCGCCATCTTCATCCCTTCATCGGCAGAGAAACTGCAAAAGCAAATCCTAAAGTAAAAGCCAGAAAGTTGGAATATGATTATCCTAAACCCTTTATGGTAAATTACAAGGTTTCCTACCCTGAAACCATATTCCAACTTTCTGGAGTTCCCTTTAAGCAAAATCGGATCCCTTGGGATGAGCTGCAGTTGCCAGAGCCCATGGCCACGTCCCCCCAGCGTGCGAGCCTCGGTCTCTTGGAGAAATTCAAGGCTTGGTGGGTTTCGCGTTTAAGGTTTAGTGTTTGAGGTTTGAGGTTTGTATATGTAATTCATGTATTGCGTGTGTGTTGGTGTGTGTGTGTGTGTGTGCTTTTTCGCATCTTTTCGCGGGCATGTGTAACATGCCCGGCTACTGTGGCTTGTATGGTGGCCGTCATGTTCACAGCCACGGGCAACATCTAGCCAGACAAAGCTAGTAAACAACCAGACCAAGCTGGATTGCCGATCATTTGTAGGTTTGAAAGAATGAGAAGGTAGGTCCGGGAGCACAACGGAGAGCAGCAGTGCTGGGCTTTGCTTGGAAATGGAAAGTTAACCCCCAAGCCATGCGCCCGGCCATGCAAATACTAGGCCAACCTAGATAGACAACGCTAGACAATGCCAGACAATATGCTAGAAAATGCTGGATAATGATAGAAGATGCTAGAGAATGCGAGGTTGCGGCCAGGTCCCGGAGGACCAGAGATGCTAGAAAATCCTCCATAATGCTAGACAATGCCAGAAAATGCGAGACAATGCTAGACTATGCTAGGTAATGCTAGATAATGCTAGATTCCGGGCAGGCCACAGCGTTTGCCCGGGACGTTTTTCTCAGGCTGAGCATTTTGAGTCGAAGACTCTTTCAAACAATCATGTCACAAGCGAGACGTGCAGTTCTAAGTTCAACAGGTTGGCTTCCGTGCGAAGGAAATGTCTAGCAACTTGGTTTCGGATTGAAGGAAATATCTAGCAACTTGGTTGCTGAATGCAGAAAATAACTAGCAGCGCGGTGCCCTGAATGCAGGAACCAATCTAGCCTTATCCAGCTCCCGTGCTCGTTTGCTGGCTGTGAAGAACACGGCCTGCACTGTGATAACAAAGGCCGCCTATGAGTGTAAAGTTTGTGGTGGTGGTTCTGTCTGTGTTGCTTGGGGCCGGTAGCCCTTTGCTGTTTAGGAGTTGGGGTTTGGGTATAGGGTTTTGGGGGTTCAGGGCTCTGCCCTGCTAACCCCAAACCACGGCAAAATTCTTCAGCAAAGCTGCACCAGCAGCTGTGCCAGCTGTGCGCACCGCTGCAGCAGCACGAGCACAACGGCCAGGAACAGCTGGCCGTAACCAGCAGCCTCTCGTGATGGGTGCTGTGAGTAGCCGCTCTCTCAATGAAACCAAGATCTGCCCATCCCTGAAGCGTAACGAAAACACACTCCAGATCCGTTACAGCTTCTGTAGTATGACGTAGACCCCGTTTGGAATCAGCCCTACTTCCATCGATTCTAGCAGCATTCAACTTGGATTCTCATACAGAGGCCCTAAACACCAAATCTGTACATACGTATCGTGAAAAAGACCTGTAACACCAAGCAGCAAATAACGCTTATATTTTGGTGTTGTGCGTTTTTGTCAAAAACCCTACAAGTTTTCTGACAGCTTTATCATTGAAATCTGTGAATATGAAGACCTTGTCGAACCAAATTACAGAACCACTTACCCGCCCGAATGAAACTCGTTTATGTATAGAACTCCTGTAACTCCGGCCATAATTCCCGAACCCCTAAACCCCCAAACCCAAAAACCCTAACCCTAAAGCCCTAAACCCCTGAAGCCCTACACCCCTAAACCCCTGAAGCCCTCAAACCCGAAACCCCTGAAGCCCTCAAACCCTAAACCCCGTGTAAAACCCCCCCTTGCAGACTCCGGCCTGCAGCCACGAGACCACGATACGCCCCCACTCTCCCAAGCCTTCGCCCTGCCAAAGCACCGTAGCTTTGGGCTCTAAAGTAGTTCCTTTTGGGGGTTCATATTTAGAATCCTGTAAGGTAATCCCAAAAAGGAACTACTAAGGAGCCTATGGGTAGCTTTGGGCTTGGTTGGGTTTAGGGCTTCTGGTCTTAGGGCTCTAGGGGTTTAGGATTTTAGGGGTTTAGGATTTTAGGGGTTTAAGGTTTTCGGGCTTTAGGGTTTTGGGTTTTGAGGTTTATAGGGCTTAAGGTGTGTTTCCGGCTCTGGCTTTTGGGGGTTTGGGGCTCAGGAGTTTGGGGCTAAAGCTTTGTTGCTTTTATAGTGTGTTTCCTATGTCTTGGGTGGAGAGTCTTCGGATTTCCTGGGCACTGGTTCCAAAAGAGAACTGAGTGTCCTTCATAAGTGTGTCGGGCCTTTCTCCGCATGCGGTGTCTGGCCCAGCCCGTTGGGCGCACACAGGGTTTAGGGGTTTTGGTTTAGGGTTGTCCTCAAGACAAATACTGTTTAGGGTTTTAGGGGCTTAATAGGGTTTAGGATTTATGGGGTTTGGGGTTTAGGGGGGCATGCCTGGTCAAGCACTCTTCCAGGGCAGTCTCGAAGATCAACACGACATGTCTCCAAAGGCTGTCGCAGGAGGGCCTGCCCATGTGAGAAAAGCAGGGTTTGGGAGTAGGAAGATTCGGGGCTCCAGGGTAGGGCTTACTTAAGGCTCAGGGAGCTCGATTCCACAGTCAGTATTGCAATAAGCTTCAGTACACATCACTACGAACACAATCAGATACTAGGACATCTCATGTGGGGGCCCCAATTCGTGATCAATAATGGGTGTGCGAACCCTGGATCAAACTCTACTACTTACAGCAGCTTAAGACTTGCTAAAATCATCATGCTAATAGCTTTGCATGGCAAGATGCCGAAGCAATACGCCACAAAAGCAAATCAAGCTACCTGTTTGATCAAGCTTCGACGAGCCACAACTCGTTCACACCTTCATTTGTGACTACTAGGTTGTCATCATCCCAACCATTTTTGAGTTTTCCTGAGCTCACTGACTACTAGTTTTGTCACTTCCAGGCAAGGAGGAGCCGAATCGTCGTTGACGTGAGACATCTTTCTACCCTACATCCTAAACCCTCAAACTAAAAATCCATGAGCTGAACCCTGCAGCTAACCTCATACATAACCTAGCCATCCACCATTGAGGACCATGAGGGCACCATCAAGGGTTCCCACAGTGGGCGACCAGGTAGTTAGGGCAGTCATTACGTAGGTATGTCGTCTGTTTCAGAAGCCTGGCTGGAGGATCCGGAAGCCTTTTCAAGCAGGGGTGTTAACGAGGGTCAAGGTATCCGAAAAGGGGCTATATAGTAAACCCTCATCAAAGCCTTAGTCTCTTCGATCCATAAAGTGTAGGTCCAGAGGGTTCCAGGGAAGGTCTATGTGTGGGCCAACCTCATGAAGATCGGAATGGCAAGTATCAGCATACCTTCTCATCTTGAGGGGATGTAGGTATACTTGGTCTACAGAAGTATAGATACATCCGATCAAGATTCAAGATGATATCCGAAACTCAAAGACCACCTATAGTCTCAACAGTCCTTTTCTGGTGTTACCTTTTCTGATGTTACCTTACAGGATCCTACATATAAGATTGGCTAAAGCCAAGACGGAGCTACAGTGGAGACTATAGGCACAAATCATGCGGGGGTTTCCGAGACAGGGACCCTTAATTAGTACCCAGTAGGATTGAAGGGACCCTCCTCGGGTACCCCGGTCATTTTCAAGCTGCACAAACACCTCCGCAGGAGACCTTGGCCTCCACCGCTTAGACATATCTGAGGCCTACCCTAAACCTGTAAACACCAAACTACCTACACCCACCCGGAAACAATCCTAAATCTTATTGGACATGTCTGAGGCGTATGGCGCTTCAGCCGTTGTTGGCGGGCGAAGTTGCGGAGATCCTCGCGGAGACTCATCCATCGCAGGAGTCCAGGTACTTGATTGAAACAATCAGGGTTTAGGGGTTTAGGATTTAGGAATGAAAACCCAGGGCTCTTATTGGGGCTCTTAATACATTAAGGGTGCTATCAAGAAGTGGGCTTAGAATGAAAACAGCGGCTCTCTCAGGTATCTGATCGGCCGATGTTCAGGAACTTTAGCACCGAACTCTTGCAGCAGGCGCACGATTTCGTCATGATTTTCTTGCAAAGCGAAGATCATGGCCACGCGAGCTGAAGCGGGATCTGCTCTGGCTTCTAGTAGCGCTCGCCCCACATCCACACGTCGCCCCACATCCATGTATTGGTTCTCCAATACGAGGCCCAGAACCGGTTTTTCATATTCCTCATGTGTGTCCGAGGTATAGCATGTCACAGTCTCGTTGGCTGCGGCTCTGGCGGTAAGGAGCAAACGCACGACTTCTGCATGGCCGGCCGAACATGCTGCGGCAAAAGGCTTCGAGTGTTGCGGACTGTTTCGATGCAGGGCTACTCGGTCAATGTCTGCCCTGGCTTCCAACAAGAGGCGCACCACTCCGCCATGGCCATTCACGGCTGCGGCGTAAAGGGGAGTCGCATGGCATTCGTGGGACATGTAGCCGACCAAATCTGGATTTGCAGGCAGTTGGAGGATTTCCTCAGTTTCCTGTACATCTCCACATTCCGCAGCGTCCACGAGGTCCGGGTCCTGAAAAGGCGATCCCATGATGTCAGTGAAGGGCAGCAACACCAGGTGCAAATCCATGGATGCCTGCAGTGAGCTGTCGTCGTTTAACATCTGGCCATTGCACAGAAGCCTTTGACGGAATCGCGACATCCCACAGATCCCTTGAAGCTTTTGCTTTAAAGTCCGCACATCCGTCCTGGATTGGGCTTCGAGACTTCTGCAAAAGACAGATGCTTTACCACTGAAGCTTCCTTCGATCTAATAGTAAGCTCGAAATCTCTAAACCCTAGCCCACAAATACAGGCCCTTAACTACTCAGTTCTTCCTTCTGCCAAAAAGAAATCTCTAAACCCTAGCGCAAATATAAAGGTCAGCTTTGTCTCAACTCTTCCGCTGCTAGGGCGACCAATTCTTCTCCAGAAGCCGTCCACACTCGAAGCACCTGTCAAGGACCAAGGGCGGACCCATCTTAGAGGCTCGGGGGCGACTATGCATGCAGCTACTAGATAGGTTCATACGTACGACAATCGCATTTCGGTTCCTTCTAGGGGCAGTCATAAAGCGAGTACGAGTTTTATAAACCAGGTGACCCTAATCGTCAAGCAAGCACCGTGAAGAACCCTTGGTGTGAGAAATCCCGCAAGTTAGTTACCCTAAGGCTCCATGCATGTGCCTATGTA